CCTGACACAGCCTGTAATGGAGGATTCGACAAATCTTGATGCATATCTTCACTGATCTGGATTTGAAAAAGATTGTGTAATTTCTCACTTCATTAGCCTGCTTGCATGTCAAAACACATATGTACAAATGACAGGATTGAAAATTAATACAAATATATATTTGTACAATGACTTACAAACCGTTCACTGTCTGAAGTCACTGAAATCTTCCGAAGATATTCACCGGTAGAGAGTGTAGTTTGATTTTGGCTGCCGGGTTTTGATTGTGCTGATACTCTAAGTGCACTTGACGTCACAAAATATGATGGTATATGGGGCGTAAGTATCACAATAAGTGTCATGTCTCCAGTGGAAGGCACAAGATGATCATTTGACCACAGTATATTGTCATGTGGCAGTGGCAGCAAAATGATTGAAGTGCTCGCAAAATGTTGATTGATCAATGCTGAATGGAATAGAGTGATGTGCCCTTCGTTGTTGTTTAATATGTGAGTGCGTGAGTGAAATGTACGCCACTTTTAGCAATATTCCAGGAAAATCATGGCAGGGCACACCAGATATGGGCTTCAAAAATTGTACCCACATGGGGAATCGAACCCATCTCTGCAGTGTGCCGAGCAAATGTTTTAACCACTTGGCTACCCCAACGCACATTGTTGTTTATGAACACAGCAGGGTTGAAATTTGAATCTGGTGATAAGGGCTGGTTTCTAACTTGACGTAAAATCTGCTCACCAAGAGAAGATTGGCATCTATTTGGGAATTTCTTAGGTCCTCTGGGAGTCAGAGACAGGCCTCTTTCAAGACATTCGACAGTGACAAAACTAATGAGTTTGCTTACATCTATTTTAGGATTTGTGTTTTTTGCTGCTGCCACTTATTTCGCCCGTTGTGTTGCCTTTCACAATATCTGCTTCTCAACAAATATGTAGTACTTGCCTGTTGCCATAACAACGTTAGTATGCAGATGGTGGAATGATAAGAGTGGGGTGTATGGTTTGACACTCAGTGTACTGGGCTTCTGGTAATGAAGCTAGACATCATTTGGCTGTTATTGGGGTGGGCGTATATATGATAAAATGTAATCAAGCCCAATCACCCATAATAAAAAGGTCCCGTCTCTAATTCAAAGATGAGGCATGACATCTCTATCTTTCCATTATAGTCTACCAAACAAAACTACAGCTACCTTCCCAAAAAGATTCCTTTGCAGATTCAAAATGGTCCCATATGAATGAAGACAGTTAAATCATTTGCAAAATTATGAGCTATTTCACAATCAACTTACAGCTGTCTAAACCCGAGTCTTCGAATTGTGAGATGGTCAGGTAACACATGCCTCCAATAAACTGAAATTTAACTACTGTCTAAATTGTGGAAAGACTTTGTGACGACCATATCATATCAGGAATCCTGGGTAGAGACCCATTGTTCCACAAAAACATGTATTTTTTCATGACATTACCCATTTCAGAAAATTTATAAGCAGAATTCGTGCCTATCTTTGAACAGCACGTTACATAAACATTTCAAAGCCTTACGAATACTTGAAATAGCATTCATAAATTTGGAATAATGTTTGGAGTACAATCGCCAAAAACCATCAAAAGAATCCACACAATTTAATTGTGATAGAGATAGGTCACAAAAACAATCTTTGAGATAATCTTAAATTATTACATAAATATTTTTTAAGCCATTTTCTTCTGGAAACTACACCTATACCAAGTGATTGAAAACTATTGGCCCAAATATCTTTAGAAGACACAAATTGTTGCCACCATCTATTTGTCACAGTGGAAACAAATATTGTATTTACATTGTACTTGAAAAGATGTAATTTTGGTCAATGGTTAAAAAACATATAACAAGATAATAATCAGTAAGTTACGTGTTAATAATGACCAATTTGATTTTTATCAGATACAAATTGACATAAAAATTAAATAAATATTTCTTCTTCCAGGAATTTGTAAAATATAATTTATATATACATATATATTGTTCACTAAAAGACAAACCAATGAAGTATCTTCTTTGAAAACATTCACGACATCAAACACAACAATCATTATATTTGAGATCAGTATCCAGTAAATCATTCACATTTTGATAAAAACAAACTCAGCATCAAAGTTAGAAATCTTATTTGTCACAGCTGATTCCAGATGTGAAAAGTGCCCCTTAAATGGATTTGCATTATACAGGTGTATGAAAAATAATTATTTCTGAAAACATGATACAAAGGTGTATGGCTAAAGCTGAAAGTGAGACAATACTAGTATGGTTTTTGTCTGGGTTACATTTGGCGTAGAAAATATGCTGGTGACATGGCTTTCGAATACATGATGGTGCATGAATGTACATTTGTGTTGAAAAAAAAAGACAAAATAAACGAGTGGTTTTTGGTGGAAATATCTGACTAATTATGTGTGCAAACTCATGAAAATTGACCAGATATCTACTCAAAAGAACTTAGGGTGATCCGTGACTTCTTTTGGGTAGTATACTACAGGGTAAAGGCTGATTTATCTACGACCCAAATCAGGGATGTAAATTACACCAGCCCTCTAATATGGACCAGTTTGATTAATTTTGAGTGAGTTTAGTTTTTAGCAAAATTCCAGCAATATCCCGGCGGGGGACACCAGAAATGGGCTTCACACATTGTACCCATGTGGGGAATCAAACCGGGGTCTTCATGACTGAATGCTCTAACCACGAGGTTACCCCACCGCCCCTATTAATTTGGACTGACTGAGTTTTGGTTTTACGCCGCTTTTAGCAATATTCCAGCAACATCACGGCGGGGGACACCAGAAATGGGCTTCACACATTGTACCCATGTGGGGAATCAAACCGGGGTCTTCATGACTGAATGCTCTAACCACGAGGTTACCCCACCGCCCCTATTAATTTGGAAGTGGCCTTAGGGCAAGTTTCAAACATTTCTGGTGCTATTGCTATATGGAAACTATTTGGGCTGTTTTGGGGGTTAATTTACATCCCTGCAACATCCTCAGGATAGAAAAAGTGATTGATCAACACCATGGACAAACACTGCTTGGAAGTAACAATTTATATATTTTATATATTTATAGTTTTTTTAGGAATGTACAAAGTCTACTACCTTACCTTTTGGGTCCAAACCCGGATAGTTCTTACATTTGACCACTTTCTATAAGTCTGTGTATTGATTGTTTGAAGATATTTCCCAGTAACTGGGACACTATTATACATCAACTGCATTAGGTTGGCCCAGGTCAGCCAGTACCCTGTAATATATAGTATCAGAATCATTCTCTGCCTTTGCAGTCGAATGCTGAGACAATGTGCATAGAATCAGTATCTAGATCATGTAAAAGATTATGTACTTTTCTAACAGATGAAATAAATAGCCTATTTGGTGATGCACTTTGGTAACACTGGGACGTTTCATGCTGCACTTACAATGAATGCATTCCTTGGCTCAGTGGAAATATGTTTAGCTTTATTATCAGGGGTTAAAATCAACAGCTATTGTCAATTAAATACTGACCGATCGAATATGAACTACACATTCATAATAATTACTCATTCTCACCAGTGATTTTATGCCATGAGTTATCAACAGATCAATTATTAAATCATCATGATGTTCTAAATATCCTGAAAGGGATTCTAAGAGCAACACAAGCTATTAATCATTAATCCATCATGACGTTCCAAATATCCATTAATGGATTGTAAGATTGGCTCCATCATGTACACCTAGTCATAGCACCATTTTTGTTGACGTTACAACTAGCTACATCAGCTGTTCCTATACTGATATGTCTGGCTAGATTTACATTCTGCTGTATGGAAACCTATCATTTTTAATGTTTCATTTTTAAACAGGCAGCCAAAGGAATTTTTCAAAATATTACAAATGAATTTCGTCTTATGTTGAATGGTTGCCTCTCGTGTCTTAGCACAATGGTATACAAAACATTCAACAAGTACCATATTCGCAGGATGAAGTGTCCCCTGACCTTCTGCCGTGGTCAGGCAGTAATGGATTAGGCATCCTGTACATTGAATAGAAGTGAACATTTCCTTGCCAATACTACACACTATCTACAGAAAGTACAGTCGTGTAGATGGGAGCGTAATGAACACACAGACCGGAGCCCCTTCCACAGGGTGACCGGAGCCCCTTCCACAGGGTGACCGGAGCCCCGGAGCCACAGGGTGACCGGAGCCCCGGAGCCCCTTCCACAGGGTGACCGGAGCCCCTTCCACAGGGTGACCGCAGCATTACGACTGTCGTAAGTCTTATGTTAAAGTATGGTAGTCACGGTCACCTTAGCGCTAAGACCACCTTGTGGAATGAGCCCACAGACTTCTGGCATTTATAACCGAGTATGTGAACAAGAGACGTCAGAAATGTTCCTTAGATACACACTCACCACTCACTTCAGAATGGGTCACAAAATAAACTGTTAAAAACTACACAATCACCTTGGCATTTGACATAATGAATTAAGTATGTAAAATTGGACACATCATAGGGAATTTTTCATGAGTTTCAACTCACGGGGCAGTTTAAAATGACATTGTAGGAATGATCACATTCCAAATATACACCAACAGTAGCCTCAAATCCTGCAATATATTTAACGCAGCAGAAAAAGAAAGAGTCCTAAATTATTTGAATAAAAGAACATAAGTTCAGTGTAGTTATGTTGGCTGATATGAAATACAGAGCTATAGTGAGGATCCTTACAACATGTCAAATTCAAACTAAAAACTCTGCAATGATGACTAAAAATATATTCTCACAAAATAGTTCTTATTTGTGAAATGTGTAATGATAAGATGAAATCACAAATTTTGTTTGTACTTCAAACAATTCTTCACAAGTGAAGTTTTACTTGAGTTTTCAAACTCTGTAGAGTTGTTAGCTTATATATTGTATGATGTAATAATCATGAGTACTGTGATGATAAAGACTTAAATTAAATTTATATATAGTTCGCATGTTCATATAAACTATTACCGTAAAAATGAAAATCACGATTATGTCTGACCGTTTTTTGTCATCACCGACAAAACAAAATGCAACAAAATCTATAATATTGTATTTTCTAAAAGCAACAACCACAGTTCAAACTATATTATAAACACAAATTGATGTATACATATCTTTGATACAAAATGTTTCAGCAATAAACGACTGAGATAAACATGATAAACAAAACCTTGAGCAGCAAGTATCAAGCCGCGGCAAGAGGAAAGATTTATGTTGACGCTGATATGAAATACAGAGCTATAGTGAGGATCCTTACAACATGTCAAATTCAAACTAAAAACTCTGCAATGATGACTAAAAATATATTCTCACAAAATAGTTCTTATTTGTGAAATGTGTAATGATAAGATGAAACACAAATTTTGTTTGTACTTCAAACAATTCTTCACAAGTGAAGTTTTACTTGAGTTTTCCCATTTTTCTATGAAGCATCTGTAGGTTTTCCGCGATTGATGGGTCCCGCGGTTCGAGTTTCTGGGCCTGAATGTACGCCGCCTCGGCCTGCTCGTTCTTCCCCCACCGATGGTACAACACACCTGGTGAACAAAACACAAGATGTCATGAGGCAGTCTAAGTCATTGTAAAACAGTATTGTAATTGTATTACATTGGGTCCGTTTCAAACCATGAGTCACTTAGAGTATGCAAATTAATCGCTTATCCCGGGCTTGCAACAGCTTGAAGTGCTTGTCCACTCTTCCAAAATGGTGGATGATGAACCTAATGACTGAGTCTCGATGAAGAGCTGATGAATTTTTTACTACATTGAAGATGTCAAACAAACTGAGAATGCTGGGATGTAAGCTGGTTTTGTTCACTTCTAAGCTGATGAAGTCAAACATTTCTAAGCTGATCAAGTCAAACATTTCCCAGCTGATGAAGTCAAACATTTCCCAGCTCATTTGTCCTGTGTTTGGTGAAGCATCAACTGTGTGCAAACCTTCTTTTCAGGCCTCATGGTAAAATGTATCTAGGAGGCAGGGCTAGACCATGTGAATTAAAAGGCTAAAGTAAAACCATTAGTGGAAGGGAGATAACTCTGCTTAACAATACATAGATCACATAAAAATTGTTTTCTTTGGGGTTTTCAAGAGATTTCAATTGACATTTTATTGAACAATATAAAGATGCGTATATGACATCATGAACACCAATCTAGGATGGGATACAATGACATGTGTCAACCAAATCAGCGAGCCTAAAACCCGGATCCCATTACACGCCCCTTACGACAAGCATGGGTTACTGAAGACCAGATCTTCACGTTGTGTCAGATCTAGGTGGTTAGTTGACTCGGTGACACCTACCTAGATTCAGGTAGAACTTCGGGTTGTGTTTGTCGATCTTGATGGCAGAGAGGAAGAGTTCCTCACTCTCCATATACTTCTCCATCTTGCCGTAGATGTTGGCCATGTTGAACATCAGCTGGGGCTCATTCTTCATCACCTTCATAGCTTCCTTGCCCACCAGGATTGCATTTTCATACTTGCCTGTGAACAGAGAAGAGAATCACGGCTGAATTTCCATGTTAGATATTTGACTATGTTCAAAAATCATGGGGCGGGATTGTTACAACGTAATGTCCAATATTTACCAGTGCGGTCATTATTCGAATAGTCTGTGAGATAACAAGTAAGTAAACAATTGTTGTTCAACACCATTTCGAGCAGTATTCCTGTAACATCACAGCATGTCCGCTATATGTGGAAGGAAGGCCTGAAGTGATGTAGGGCTCTGACGTTCATCACTTTGAAACCCATGACTGACTGACTGACTGACTGAGTTTAGTTTTACGCCGCTTTTAGCAATATTCCAGCAATATCACGGCGGGGAACACCAGAAATGGGCTTAACACATTGTGCCCATGTGGGGAATCGAACCCGGGTCTTCGGCATGATTGAAACCCATGAGCGACTACAGGGTACTGAAAAGCCTACAAACATAACCGAGGCAATTTGGGAACCCAACCCATGATCATGGGTTTCTGGTGTGCAAAAGATATCATCTTAGATGACTGGGCACCATGTTTCCTGTAAAATTGTGAGAAACAGAGCCTTTAAATCCAAAGCTAACATCAAACCCTGAGACGTGTGCAATTTTACTTTGCTACACCAAAATGGTGAAGATCTAATTAGGAGATAAACCTAGTGTGTTTGAAAATCAGAGACATGCTTTACTGAATTGATGGCGACTAAATATTTCAATTGAAACCTTACTCGTTACTGAATTGATGGCGCCAGTGTTTACATTTTGCGAAAGTTTAAATTTGAAGTGACAGTGGACAATTCTTGACTGACTGTCGAATCAGAACCCTGCAGAATCGAAGAATAGATCCTTTCCTGACCTGTAACTCATCAAAGACTGTTGATTTTTATGACCGGCCGATCATGATTTCACGTACTGCCTCCGCCCCGGCATGCGACAAAAGACTGACAGTGCTGCTGCTTAGTGTACATGCGACTAACTTGTGATTCCTTGGAACGTTGTTTTCATCGTTTGGGACTGGACTGTGTCCAAGCGTTTTTCAAAGTAGATGAACATAACAGAGACAACCTTGCGGGGAAGCTGGCAGAGTGCAGAATTATTTTGTGAACGATGGAGTATGACTATGAGTGGCATAACTGTGGTGTTTCGCCAGACCGTTAGATCTATCTTGCAAATTTCCCATTCTAAACGGAATTAAATATACCATTTACCAGGTAGGTAAATGTTTACTAATGTTTTGCTGCATATTTTGTATAGATAGGGATGTATTTTTACAAGGCTTTCTGATTTATATGTTAGATATTGTTTTGTTTATGTTTGGGGCTGTGTATTGTAATTGAGTTTGAATATTTTTATAATAGAAGGTAATATGATCGTTAGGTTCCCTCATAATTGTGGGGAGGAAATCTTATAACTGTATTTTTCGAGTTCAAATAAATGTTTTATCAGCATTTCCATCACGTCTGTTGTGTTGATAGTAGTCATGTTGGTAGTCAAGCTGAAGTACTGCGGCAGTGTTCTATACGTGCGCAGTGAAGCGCAATGAAATCAAACGCATTTTTAATCCAAAAATTTCCAATTGCCTATGTTGAAAATTCGAAAGTCAGCGTCAAAATCCATGGAGTTGTTGTTATGATCCGCCATCGTTGTGGTCAAACGGAAGTAGTTCTCACAATAAGATTTGTCAATGCGCCTTACAATCAGATGTGAATCCACAATTGATGCGGATTTTTCTGAACAACCAATCAGAATCTAATTTTCATTCATGGTAGAATGAAGTCTCATTGATTATGATCCTTCATTTTTTATCATATTACAGAATTCTGGCCTCCCATGGAAAGCAGCTCAATGAGTTTATTGCCAAGCAACTCCCTTCACTGTAACATCAAAACAAGGTTAGAGAGAAAATTCTGACACATTTACATTTTTGGTTGAACAATCAGGATGTACCAGGTGAGTCAGTCTATCTGATATCATTAGTCGTCTCTGATGACAAGAATCAGCTTCCCAAGACCAATTCTAACCAAATCAGTATGCTCAAGACAAACGTATCCACAAGTAAATAGAGAATCTCACCCTAGTGATTTTTGATATCAAATATATAACCACGAGTTGATAAAGTAACACATATCCGAGGCTTGCAAATGAAAAATGTACATCTCCGAACACAGTAGTGCCATTAGATTTGCATTGTGACGTCAACAAGTTCATGACGTCATAGCATTGTCAGGGCATTGTACAAAATCTACTGTCAAAACGATATCTCCTGGGAGATATCGTCTGATCTCACACAAGCGATATCTACTGTGGAACACAGTTTTGGATGATAAACATAAGAATCACTGGCCCTCCATCGAGACTCAAAGACTAGAAAGGAACATGTCTGCTCTTCTATTCAGGTGTGTGGCTCAACTTACCCAGGCTGTCCAGCAGGATGAGGGTGTTGGTCCAGGCATTCATGTGGGTGGGGCGCAGCTGGGTGGCGTTTAGCCACGCCCGGATGGCATCGGTGTGGCGCCCCATGTCCAGGTACTAGATAAAAACACATGTTGATCAAGATCACATTTACCGTACACAATTCTTCAAGTCATGGAGTCATTCTTGGTCTTAATATGAACTTAAAGTTCTGGATGCTGTTGTACCAAGTGGTCTTAGTGCTAAGGTGATCAGTATTCCCGTAACTTAGGCTTAAGACAGGTATAACACATTAATAAAGGCCTATGATTGTTGTAGAGCTTATTGAAGGGGACCCTGTATCTCACTGTCGTCTTAGCAGGATGTCTTCCATAAATCAGAATACATGACACATCTTCTTTTATTCTTTGTCATGATGTTGTTTCAAACCTACTTCAACTCTGAAACATCGTGACAAAGAATTAAAAAACGTTGTTAGCCATTAAAGGGGATATATTCATGTTCTTCAACATCTAAATGCTTTCCAAAGCCCTAAATCTTGAAACACTTTCTATAGTAACATCAGACCCTGGCCAAAAAAAACCAACATTCTCCATATCGACATTAATCACTGGAAAAAGAACTTTTATGGAACAATAGAAATCCAGAGAAACAAGCCAGTGGTTAACAGAGATCAAGACATCCACCATCCAGCATGGACTCAACTGTGCTACAACCAGTCATGACTCAAAACTGGACACCTCGATCTTCTTCCTGTATGAGTGAGTGAGTGAGTGAGTTAACATCTAACGTCACATCGGCAATATCTCAGCCATATCGTTACGAATTTTTTTTTTATATGTGATATATAGTGAAAGCATTTTGAAGATTAAAACCTGTCTTCCTGTATGTTATTCCCTGCCACACCTGTCTCTTCTCTGAGTCTTAGGATGTGAGAATGGAATAGAGATACCATGATCACAGACAACCAGTGATGCTAGAAAGTTGATTCGAAACTTATTAAGTCCATTTAGTGCCAAAGTATGACTACTTGTGAGAAAAAGGTTGCCCAGAGGCCCAGATAAGCTGCCTATCCGGGTAAAATACGCATAGAAAATTTCCACTTACGCATTGCGTACCAATTACGCATTTAATATGTTAGATACGCATAAAGTTTAAAACAAATGCGTACAGAGTATATCTATAAAAATTGCTTGCGCTATGAAATAGACATTGATTGCTATCAAGCTGTACTGTTAGTATAGGACAAGTGTTGTACTGTCAGTATAGGATGAGTGATTTTTTATGAAATCATTTCCATTTCATTTGGTTTTGATTAGGTATGACATAAGGCAGAACATACCTGCTTAGTAAACTTACTCAATGACATAATACTTAGGTGAGTAAAATGACTGAAATACACACATATTTAAAAGCAGTGGGTAACGGAAAATGAAATACCCACTCAACATTCATAATACCCACTTCAAAAAACTACAGTGGGTACAGTACCCACATGAGCTAAATCTTATCTGGAGCTCTGGTTGTCCGATGACCACTGTCCAGCCTACAGGGCCGTGACTCACCAGGTTGCCCAGGTTGTAGTAGCAGTCGGGGTACTTCCTTCGATGCCGGAGGGCTTCCAGATAGCTGGCCTCTGCCGACTCATTCTTCTTCAACTCAGCTTGCACTATACCCAGGTTCATCCACGCTGCTGCAAAATCGGCCCTGTAAAGTCACATAGAAGTGGGTTTCTATTACAGTTACATCAAGGCATTTCAACTTAATGGAGGAAGTCAAAGTCATGCGGGTATGACACGTTCACCACTTGTGTGTTGGATTTAGTTGGGGTTGAAATGGCAGTGAAGATGTTAGCACGTACACAGTGACATTTCATGCACATGTGTTGTGTTGTGTGTTGTGGTGTTGTGTCTCTGTATGTGCTCGTTCATACTGGACTTATGACCAGATTTTGGGTGCTAACCCATTGCCATAGTACAAAATCAAATAGGCAAGTAGATTTCATGCCACATTTCGCAATATTCCGGTGACATCATGGTACACCAGAAATGTTCTTAGTATAACATAGACTAGTGTTGGGAATTGGTTAAAATCTCATACTGTAAACGTATTATATTTCGCGCAGGTTTTATTTTCGCGCTTTTCGCGCAAAACATTTTAGCGCGAAAATTTATACACAGCGAAAAAACCTGTCATTCATTCAGTCTAGCCACGCTCGCCCCTGAGTTGTTACCATAACACATCAAGTTTGAAGACAGAAATCTACGGGGAATCTTAAAATGACGACTGATAGTAGCATAAAGAATCATACTTAACTGTCGCTTTAATGGATTTCCCAAAACATAATTAAATAATGAGCCAAATCCCATCGCCGAATTAGCGAAAACAGCAATGTGTGTTGTGGCCGCCATGGAAATTGGTCACATGACAGATGGTTTGATACAAAACAGATTACCATGAAACGACTCGGAAAGAAATAATACAGCAGTATTTTATTTATTCATTAAGATTTTATTTACCAGTACATCATGAAGCGAATACTAGTAGTCACTTAACACTCAGTCATCTCATTCACAACAACCCGGCTTGTTTGAAATCACAAAGAGCTTCATATACAGTAGAAGTTAATTCGTCAGATCGTCAGAATTCGGAACATAAGACTGATGTGTTTTTCATCTCTTCCGTGAATAAACGGATTACTGTGTACTAGTATATCGCACAGATAGGGATTTCCTGTGAGTAAGCAATAAACGCCGCCTGACAGGTTAAGCCACTCTGTTTGTTTTCACTGCTATTTGTGGCGGCCAGAGAGACAGCTGGCAGTTCCGGCAATTACTGATTGCGCGAATAATTGACCGCTCGATGTAGTCTAAACTGTCAATTCCGCGAAAATTGCACCACGCGAAAATAAGTACGTTTACAGTAATTGATGATTGGTTTATTACAACCGATCAATCATCGAAAAAAATTGGTTAGCGTCATTAATGAAATTTGTTAATGCACATAAAAATAAGTAAAAAACATGTAGTTCTTTTGGGTTTTGGGGCAAAATTTCACATCTTTAAAGGATGACTAGTATGTCAGGAACATATTATTCTTGGAGTCTTTAAGATAAATTCAATCATGACTTGAAACAAGCTTGTAGTGCTTATGAAATGTAACAGACAAAACCAACCTTGTGAAAAATATTGTTTATGAAAACAAGTGTTCCAGAATTGTTTGTGTTCGATTATGAGAAAACATGATCGATTGCTTGGTCGTTTAGTCACTGTGACCTATCTTCGATTATTTCAATTAATCGGACCACCACTAATATAGACCCCACATCGGTAAGACACGGTGTACAGGGCCCAAGCTGACAAGTCTTTACTTCATTCCCATATTGCTGAGCTCCAAATATGTTAACATGTAGTGTCTGAACCACACAACCTTCCACTCTCCAGGCTGAGTTAATACAGTACCTGATGCTGACGGCCTTCTGCAGCAGCTGCTCTGCCTCCAACACGACCCCGTTCTCCTTCAGGATGTTGGCCAGGTTGTTCATGGCTTGGTCGTACTGGGGGTTCAACCTGTTGGAGGATACAAACAATTCAATGGGTGACCAATTGAGAATATCACTAGAGTGGTAGTGGTGGTGTTGATGAGTGGAGTCAGAACCTTCGAAATGCCATTCAAAGATTCCATTTTTTGTGACTTGCCAAGAGGACTTTGCCCCACAATTCAGTGTCTGTTTATGGTCTGTGTCCAGATATTCAAATTAGTACCTATTAAAGGTACTTGTCAAGTTCCAGACTAATATACACAATGACTAGCAGCAACAATGGTGATCTTAGTAGCACTTCACTGTAGGTTTGTGATGTACCAAGGGAGGTAATAAAGCTCGCCCCACCATGCAGTCATGTTTTCCATGAGAGAGGGCCGTAAATATAGAGACGGGCGATATTACACACAACAACAAAAATCTTTGGGACCCAGTGAGTGAAACAGCAGCCGGCATGCCGACCAATAGTTTGTTCATATGTAGTTTAACACTGCATTCAACAATATTTTTACAAACCTGGAGAGGTTATGAATTCTTTGAAGAAAAGTCCTCCTTGGGGTACATATAAGCATTAAAATGTCCATTTTAAAAGCCTACGACAGTTGTAACAATATTTCAATAAAATATTTTACCAAACAAAAAACTCGTTATGTGTGGTGAGACCACCCCTACAGGGCCCCGTAGAGGGCCCCCTACAGCCAAGAGCAGGTAACTCTGGCTGTGTACCTCGTACCTCACTTTTCATGCTGAACGTGTCAGACAGAATGAGGGGAGGTGGGAGTGGTCAGACTTCAAGGAGGACTTTTCTTCAAAGAATTCATAACCTCCAGGTTTGTAAAATTCTTTTCAGAAGAAGTCCTCCTTGGGGTACATATAAGCATAAGACAGACTCCCAACGATGTTGAGTCGGGAGTGGTATTCTGTCTGCCTAACATACCCCTAGTTCAGTCGAAGGCACAGCCGGGCCGCCACACAGAGAGAGAAAAGTACACTCACCTAGTCACCTGACCGCTGATGTCAATCAGGCGGGGCGGCAAGCAAGCGGGGAAAAGGAGCCTAGCCGATAGGCTATTGGTGGAATTTATAAAGGCGGACGCAAGTCCCACCCCCAACCATCAAAATGGGAGGGAAAGTATGGGCGAGTCCAATATATATCCCTCAGCAACCCAAACCAGCCAAGCTGGGTGCAGGATGAACACAGTGACTGTAGCGAAAGTGATAATCGCTACATACGGTAAAACCACCACCAATGTGATACCACCACCGATAAAAATGAGGAATTTATTAACACCTACACCATGAGAAAAAAGCAAACGTGATTTCTAAGGCTCATTCGCTAGAGAATCACGACACTGCCCACTGGTGAGAACTGTCTGGCCAAACCGAGCACGCTCCCGTGAGTGTTTGTCCAGCTGATAGTGGCGGATGAACGTACTCGGTCGGCTCCAGATAGCCGCTGAGCAGATCTCCTCAATGGGCAGTGCCGCGGCGTATGCTTTTGATGTCGCCACTGCCCTAACCGAATGAGCCTTTAAACCCTGAGGGATGGTTAATCCTTTGTAAGAGTAACTCGAACAAATGGCAGAGACAAGCCACCTAGATATGGTCTGCTTGTTCGCCGGAAGACCAGCCTTGCCACCGCCATAACAACAGAACAGCTGCTTATCTTTCCTGATAGCAGCCGTTCGTTTGATATAAGCCTTGAGAGTCTTACGGACATCTAAGACGTGAGCACCCCGAAGAGAGGTACCGGACGATGGAGGCTGAATGAAAGCTGGCAGTTCGATAGGCGCCGTTATATGAAAGGCGCCTGCGACCTTAGGACGGTAGGAGTCTGGCAACCGAATACTGACTCTGTCTTTGTGAAAGACAGTCAGAGCAGGATCCGCTGACATCGCATGGATATCACCTACCCGCCTGCCAGACGTTACCGCCACAAGAAAGGCAGCCTTCCAACTTAACAGCTGGAGTGAAAGAGACGACAGATCGTGAAAGAGAGGACCGGACATCCAATCAAGAACGCATTGACAAGTCCCACGGGGACTAATCTACCGGACAGTCGGACGGATTCTGTCCACGCCTGCTAAAAGCGCCAGCACGAGAGGGTGCTGCCCCAAGAGAGCACCGTCGGCAGGGATATGGAAGGCAGAGATTGCCGTGGAGTAGCCCCGATAGTAGACGCCGCTAAACCGGGCTTCTAACCGAGACTGCAAGAACTCCAGTACTTCAATTACAGTTGAAGAAAAGGGATCAAGAATCCTCTGCCGACACACCAGCGCCAAGCATAACAGGCCCATCTATCCTCATACTGAACGCTTGTCGAATCCCTCCGCTGGCCAGAATTGTGTCTGCAACTGGTGCAGGAATTCGCCAAGGTGGAGACGATTCCGACAGAGGCCAGGCCACCCACTGAATCCTGGGATTCGGTGCGGCGCCCGCTCTGGGATAGTAAGTCCGGTCGAAAGGGTAATAGTACAGGAGGCTGAGCCAGAAACCTGAGAAGTACCGAAAACCAGCTTTGAGCCGACCAAAGGGGTGCAAGGAGCACAAGAAGTCGAGCTGGTTGGGTGGCAAGCTGCAAGAGGACTTTGGGAATCAGGGTAGTGGCGGAACGCCCACAGAACCCTGTCCGGCCCAATCGAGCTGGAAAGCGCCTTGGCGATGGCTCGGATCCGGTATCCGAGAGCAAAACACCGAATCTGGTTCGCCCCCAGATGCAAACAGATCCACCTGGAACGACCGAACAACTGGGAGATAGCCCCAATATCCCCGATGGAGCATCCACTGCGTGTGGGGCCAGGATACGACGAGAGAGTGCATCTGCTCGAACGCTGTCCGCCCCTGGGAGATAAACAGGCATTACCCGTATGTCGAACTGGTCGCACCAGAGCAGAAACTGCCATGCCTCCTGCAGAAGAGACGGGAAACCGTATCGCCTCTGCTTCAGGATGTAGGTCATTGCCGCCTGGTTGTCCATCTCGAGACGGACCACACGGCCTTGAACCTGCTCCCAAGTCGCTTGAACACCAACCTGACTGCTCTCAATTCTAGCACATTGATGTGCAGTTGCGCTCGCTTCTGTGACCACAGGCCTGAGACCGACAGGGCGCCCAGCACGCCCCACCCTGTGAGGGAAGCGTCCGTCTGAATTGAGAGATCTGGCGATGGGATGTCCAAAGGGAGCCCCTTGGATAAATTCCCTGCCAGTGTCCACCACCGTAAATGAGGAATTAGCCACCCTGGAGTGTGGAGAATCAACTCGTAACCCTGGGTGTGGACCCACATTCGAGCTAGAGCCTGCTGAATGGGTCGCATCCTCAACCGCCAAAACGATGTCCACCGCTGCCGCCATGTTGCCTAACAACTGGAGCCAAGTCCGAGCTGAGGCCCTGGGGAACTCGAGAAATTGTAACACAACTCTCTGGACTTTGGTGACGCTGTCCGAGACAGGGAGACTATCCCTCGCGCTGTCTCGAATCTCGCTCCCAAGAACACCAGATCCTGGGTGGGAACCAGTTCTGATTTCTTGAGGTTGATAATCCAGCCCAACTTGGTGAGAATACTCATCACAGCAAGTGTCGCAACTCGACTCAAGTGAGTGGCAAGCACATCGAAGGAGCCAATCGCCTAGGTACGGGTGACAGCACCTGCCCTGTGACCTGGCTACCTGAGCTGGAATTAGCATGAGTTTGGTGAACACCCTTGGCTGTGGAAATGCCGAAGGGGAGTACCGAAACTGATAGCACCTCCCGTCCGAAGGAAAACCTTAGGTATTTCCGAACTCGGGTGCATAGGGACATGGAAGTACGCTGCTGTCTTTGAGGTCGATTGACGTGAGCCAATCTCCCTTCTCCACAGACGAAATCACCCGAACGCAGTGTTTCCATCTTGAAGGACGGTACCTCTAACATGTCGCTCAGACCTTTGAGGTTTAGAATAGGTCTGAACCCTCCGTCCTTTTGGTGACAAGGAAATAAGTTGAGTAAAACCCAACATTTCTTGTCCCACAGGAACCACCTCTATGGCTGCCTTGTCCAGCAACGACTGGACCTCGCACGAGCACTTCCGCCTTCTCTAGGGCAGCCGGCACTGGAGTGCAACGGATCCCGGAGAAGGGGGTGGGTCTCGCCCCACTGTGGCATGTGGCCTTCCCTGAGTGTGGACAGGACCCAGGGATTGGGCGTGACTTTTCCCATTCCGACAGGAAGAGGGAAAGTCGACCACCCACAGGGATATGTGGCAGGAGACATTGAATACCTGACTTTGGCAGTACTCCGACTGCTTGGTCTGGTACCAACAAGGGCTCGGAGGAATTATAGCTGGGAAGCCGGGCTGACTTCCCCTTCCTCTGAAAAGGCTGGTGGGCCGTGGCCTTGCCCTTGCCCCCTGCCTCTGCCCTTACCCCTCCGCGACTGCAAGGGCTGAGCCCATTTAACAGATTCCTTCGCCGCGGCAGAAGGATATGCGGAGGAGACAACCGGGGGCCGCGAGCGAGACGTGTGAGGCTGTTCCAGCAAGGGCTTAGAGTCCTTGAAGGTTGAGACAGCCTCCGCGGCCTCCCGGACTACTGTAGCTGCCCCGGGAACAGGGTAGAACCCATCCGGAATGGCAGCCAGCAGAGCCTGTTATGCGGGCAGGCGAATACCTGCGCCCGCGAAAGCCACAGGCGACGGAGGCCCATCACCGCCGACATCATCGCGAGCCAGATGTGACTGTACCTCCGTTAATTGCTTAGCCAAGGTGGAGGGAGACGAATCTTCCTCCACCCCACCCACATCCAGTAGTTGCCTCTGCAACACCGAGATGTAGGCGGAATGGATCGTCACTTTGAGGCATTGAACCGCATTGCGGTATTGCTCTTCAAAGGATCGATAGGCGGATTTAAGCGCTGTAGCGTTAGTCGTGAACGGCGGAAGCCGGCGACCTTGCTTGGCTGAAGCCATAGAATTACCCGACGAACCCCCCAGGGCGACGGATGCGTAAACACAATCGTCAACCACTGGGGGATTGTAGAGGCAAGCCTCCCCCATGAGGTACCGACGGTCAAGTTCTGGCAAATCGAACCTGGACCTGGTACCACAGAGGAGGGGGTTGATTACTTCAGACAAGACTGAGGGTAATATACGCAGCCTTGTGTCCCCACCTTGGTGGGGAGCAAAAGCCTCCTGGGAGGCGAAAACTCCTGAGGGTCGGGTGCGCCAGTACTGACCACTACCTGGGGCAGGACAGAAGCAATACGCCCCCGCACCTGCCTCAGGGGCGACCGAGCGAAACCAAAGGCGTGCCCTAACTCTCCTCCCGACCCTCATCCTCCTCCATAGCCTCCTCGAATCGATCCTCAATGAGTGGTCTCTGTGTCCAGAGAGAGCTCTGAGGGATCATCCGAGGGGTCTACAGAGAGGGACAAAGGCTCGAGCAGAGCCGGTTGCCCGCACACCCGACCCAAGACTCGAGACTGAGTCAGCGGTGCCGTGATGAGGAAAGAGCCCGTGCTGGGATTCCTCAATGGGAGACAAAATGATCCAGACACCCGAATGGCCCGCCAAGCCGGGCGCAAGCGGTGGGACCACCATGGGCGAGCGGCAACTACAGGGACTGCCAAACTACTAACTACTGGACCAGACCCGAGCCAAGGCTCGGGCCGGTAGTAGTTACTACAGCGGAGGGTGGCCAGCAACCGAGACGAAACTCGAGCCGACGCACCCGACAGAAACCCCACACCAGAGCCTAAGCTGAGGTTGGGAGCACTGCCCGCCATAGACCCGCACACACACCCGCATTACCTGGTCGGACGCCAATCTCCTGGCGGAGGCCAGCCATCGCCAGCCACGAGTGTGGACCGAATCCATCTGCTTCTGCAATATATCAGAAAGTAAATCAATTGTTAGCTGGTTAGAAACAGGGACAGGAGGGGGGAAGGTGCCTGTGATGTTGAGGGGATGGCAGGTGAAGGAGCCGAGGCCCCGCGCCTTCGCCCGTTTAGGAGCATCCCCTCGAAGAGAGGAAGCGAAGCCTTCTTTTCTTTGTTTTTATCTTTGTCTTTAGGCTCCCTGACCCCAAATGTCCCCCGCCTGAAGTAAGGACGTGTAGAACATGTAATCAGCACGCGTCTGGACTTGATGGTGCGGGGGAGAAAGCCTGACACATAGAACAACCTTGTTCGTCATGGGCTTCCTCCGCTAAACAACGTAAGCAAACCAGGTGGCGATCCTGAGGCGACAAACTGCCGCTACAGGTGACACACCCCTTGGGCTGCAAAAAACAGAACCACGCTATGATAATAGCAAGGACTGTACGATATACATAATATAATATGCACACAACAAAACAGAACAAAAACAACGCCCGGGTTATATTTTAACTGTTACAGCAAAGCTATTAAATACTAGCGTAAAGCCATAATAGCGGCGGCGTAATTAAATACATAGGTGACAAAGAGCAACATGTGTGAGCGACACGTAAACGCGTCAGTCACGAAAACACTCAAGCAAAACTTACCTAAAGCCTGGAAAAAAAAGGAATTTAGGCAAGTATAATCTACAAAATGAAATATCAGCCCTTTCACAACCCGACTACAAGGCTTTTTCTAAAGCCAGGAGAAGGAAAGCAACCGGGACCCCGCGGTCCGCCATCTTGCCTGCCACGTGGCTGGAGACAGCGAACACGCCGGTAAAGTTACAACAAATCATGAATGAAAAAAAGTCATACAAAGATTCCAGCTAGCGCCCGAGCGAAAAAAAGGAACCATACATACAGGATTTGACTCTATCTCACTCATCCTTATTCGTATCTTGGACCATGCAAACGACCTACACGGCCGACGACAGCATGAAAAGTGAGGTACGAGGTACACAGCCAGAGTTACCTGCTCTTGGCTGTAGGGGGCCCTCTACGGGGCCCTGTAGGGGTGGTCTCACCACACATAACGAGTTTTTTGTTTGGTAAAATATTTTATTGAAATATTGTTACAACTGTCGTAGGCTTTTAAAATGGACATTTTAATGCTTATATGTACCCCAAGGAGGACTTCTTCTGAAAAAGAATTTGGAGCGTTCAAGTCACCTGGACTGCAATTTTATGGGTAATATTGATACTTCATGCTTCCAAATTAGTTTCAGACAACCAGGAATTTGACATGTCGAGCCTGATATATCCACACATAAATGATGATTAATACAGAAGGAATTCAAGGGACTTATGAACGGAACAAGATATTGATTGGCCATTGTGTCATGCCTACCTGATAGCCTGTCTGTACTTGTCAATAGCAATGTCTCTATTGTTGTTGTCAGCCTGGAGCTTTGCTATGTTGTAGTGGACCTGTAATCAAAATACCCACTTGCATACAACTGGTTCACATAACACCACAATCAAACTGATTACTACCCAGAATGCTACAGCTTGAGTATTGCTGCTGAACTAGGAACAGAGGAAAGACTGTGAAACTGACCTTGGCATTCAATGGACAGACCTTGACCCCTGATGAGAACAAGGTCATCTCTTCCCTCCACTCACTGCTTCTCTGAAACAAAGTAAACAAGAGTTCCACATGAGCTACATACAATCACTGGTTGCTGGGTCAGCCACATTGAATAAGGCATTATCAAACTACAGTCGAGCACCGTTTTCTCGATATTCATGGGACCAAGAAAAAATAGCGAGTTATCCGAACTTCGAAACATCTGACCAGGGCATATCATCACATATCACTATGAAAGAAAACAAAATGCTTCTCAGTATGTTTTGATTCGAAACTATAATTCGTTATCAGTAGTGTTTAGTCGTAAGCTGTCCTCCCATTACGCAGCCAGCCAGTTCGCAGACACCTTAAAACAACAACATTTACGGTTCAGTGAACAGATTATCTACTATCTGTTACCTACACATTATAATGGAATAGTCCAAATAAATACTCTGGAACAAACTGAAGCTATATTATTTATTTTGAAAGATGGACTGACTGACTGACTGAGTTTGGTTTTACGCCGCTTTTAGCAATATTCCAGCAACATCACGGCAGGGGGACACCAGAAATGGGCTTCACACATTGTGCCCATGTGGGGATTCGAACTCGGGTCTTCGGCGTGACGAGCCAACGCTTTAACCATTAGGCTACCCCACCGCCCCCTTTTGAAAGATGGACGAAAAGAAAGTAATTTGAATTTTTATTGCTGCAATATGAAAACAGTTTATTTTCATAAACATTTCGGTTTAACCTTCTAGTCTAACGGGAGTCAGCATCATCATATTGAAAACATTAGCTCAGCTATTAGAAATTGCAACACAGTTGTATCATATAAATCAAATAAAGACAAATGTGAATTTAAATATTATTCATATGGAATAAGGAAGTTATATGTTTTGCACACAATATTAAGATATACGACAAGTGCACTTAATAACGATTTATTTAGAAGAAAAATTTAAAATATGACGCATCATGTCAATGTGGCCATGGATGTGAGAATGTTTTTCATTACTTCCTTGAATGAACTCTTTTCACACTTACTGTACATGTGTTTTTAACGATGTATGCAGCGCCGTTGAGCATCTGTGATGGAAACTACGCGCTCTTCAAGCCAATCATTATTATTATCTCCATTGTATACTACTCAAAGACATAAACTGTTACAATCTTTAGAAAGTATTGTTAAAAATGTAATTTTTTGAGTAAAATTGATATTTTATACTTATCCTGACTCATGCTCTTTTTGCTTGTCTCCTTCCTCTTGCGAACATAGTGGAACACTTGTATCTCCCTAATTGAAGTTCCCTTCAATGTAAAATCACTAATTAGTACACCACGAGTTACCTCCCTTCCACAAGCTCGGGAACGAGGGCGCCACCTCTACCCATGTGCCTCACTCTCTCCTCATATACTGAGCCCAACATTTGAATTTACAGGGAAATCCAAAGTGTTATTTGGGGAGGATGGGAGGGCTGACCTCATGAGTCAGGATAAGTATAAAATATCAATTTTACTCAAAAAAATTACATATTTTTCCTTATCCTGACTCATGCTCTTTTGCTTGTAGAATCCAACAGAGCCGGAGGTGGGAATATATAATACTTTGGATTTTAATAATTAGTGATTTGAACTGTGATGATTGTAATAACCCTATGGGAACTTCATAAAGGCACTGAACTGATGAATTCCTGCTGCCAGCTTATCAGCTGCCATATAGAGGTTATTACAATGTACTTATTATGATAAGTATATATAATATTAATACAATGCTTAAGACTAATAGACTTAAGCTTGTTAATATGCTAGTATAAACTCCTTAGAGTTTGTTAGCTAAAATACTTTAAGATATAAACATAGCACTAAGCTTAAAATATGATAAATTTTAAGCTAATTATATAATAACAAACCTCTTTAGGGTTTGTTAGTTAAAATATTTATATGATATAGACAGTGCTGAGCTTAAGATATGAATAAGCTTAGCTATATATATAACAGCAAACTTTGTAAAGTTTGTTAGCTAATACATTTTTACAATATGAGTATAGTATTGTGCTTAAGATATAATTATCTTAAGCTACATATATAATAGCCAAACTTAGTAGAGTTTGTTAGCTAATATATTCTACAATATGAGTATAATACTGTGCTTAAGATATAATTAACTTAAGCTACATATATAATAGCCAAACTTAGTATAGTTTGTTAGCTAATATATTTTTACAATATGAGTATAGTACTGTGCTTAAGATATAATTAACTTAAGCTACATATATAATAGCCAAACTTAGTAAAGTTTGTTAGCTAATATATTTTTACAATATGAGTATAGTACTGTGCTTAAGATATAATTAACTTAAGCTACATATACAATAGCCAAAAACTCTGTAGAGCTTATTAGCTAATAGATTTATAATGTAACCATAGTACTAAGCTTAAGATATGATTAGACTTAAGCTAAATGTATATAGCAAAAAACTCCTTAGAGTTTATTAACTAATATACTTTTATGTTATAAACATAGTACTGAGCTTAAGATATGATTAAACTTAAGCTATATATATATAATAGTAAAACTCCGTAGAGTTTGATAGCTAATACATTTTATTATGTTGATTTAGACCTAGTATTGAGCTTAAGATATGAAGTAAACCTTAAGCTACATATATAATAGCCAAAAACCTTTTAGAGTTTTAATAGCTAATATACTTATATGGTATCAACATAGTATTGAGCTTAAGATATGAAGAAACCTTAAGCTACATATGTATAGCAAAAACTCCGTAGAGTTTGTTAGCTAATACATGATATAATGTAACCATAAAGCTTAAAATATGATGAAAACTTAAGCCCAATATATAATAGCAAAAAACTCTTTTAGAGTTTTGATAGCTAATATACCTATATGCTATAAACATAGTACTAGCTTTAAGATATGAATAAGCTTAAGTTACATATATAATAGCAAAAAACTCCATAGAGTTTGTTAGCTAATACATGTTATAATGTAACCATATTGCTTAAGATATGATGAAACTTAAGCCAAATAGCAAAAGCTCTTTAGAGTTTGTTAGCTAATATAGTTATATGATATAAACATAGTACTGAGCTTATGATATGAATGAGCTTAAGCTACCTATATAATAGCAAAACTCCGTAGAGTTTGTTAGCTAATGTATTTTTACAATATGAGTATAGTACTATGCTTAAAATATACTTGACTTAAGCTACGTATATAATAGCCAAAAAAAACTCTGTAGAGTTTGTTAGCTAATGCATTTATCATGTAACCACTGTGATGATAAAAAACGAGCTTAAGCAAATTATATATAGCATGAAGCTATTTAGTACTGTTATAAGATAAGTAAAAATCTGTAAGATTGACTTATCTTCTCCGAGGAACTGTCAACTGTTGTGCAAGGACCATGGGATCGAATTGGTGGATACCTGAGATGTCCTCGTGGTGATATCTCTCAGATAATGGTTGGCAACCACCATATATCGGATCTACAGTAATAAACCCTCCATTATTTCAAATAACATTTGTGTAGATGAAATTGTAGAAGTTAGCGCTTTAATATCAAGAGTATTAAAGCTCATGGAGGGTCGGATTAGGTCCATCTGTCTTGTATGCACGTGAGTATGACAGTTCTGATCCAAACGGAGATATAGTACGTTGAGACTACACTCTCGTGAAGTTGATGATAGAGGAAAAAAAATCTGTTGTATTTTTTCTTCCTGTTTGGTTTGGTGGAGATAAATTTACAGTGCTCTTGCTGGCCAGCGTGATAGCATCATCGTATCATGGAGTCCAAGTATGTCATCCAGGCATGTTCATAAACCTCACTTGTGAGGTGTTGTAGCACTATATTCATATCCCCAAGTTGGTACGTGAAACTTCCGTTTATTCTCCAAACAGAACTTAGTAGGTTTACTAACCATCTAGTTGTGTTAGTAGCTTGATGATGAAATTCAGGTGTAGTCTGAAACGCTGTGGATTTCGATCCACTTGTATCACGTCGTCTAGGTAAATCGTTGCGATGTCCTTGACGATGTATGTGCACAACCGGGAGTTTGTGTCCTCGATGAACTTTATGTAAAATCGCCTGACTGCTGTGCCCTTGTCTAAACTTGACAGGGGAGGTCTCTAACCTGAAGAAAGCAGCCTAATCATGAAGGTTCAGGTTAACTGGGCTGTAAGGAGGCTTGCTCGTTCATTGATATAAAGTTGTCACTTGCAACCTATGTCTTGAACTGTGAACTATGCTCGACCTCTGTGTAGGGCGTTGTTCATCGGGTCCAATCAGAATAAGGCATTTTGATTCTGTAGAGTACCAGCTGTGATGTCACCGGTGTAGCAGGAAAAGGAACCTTGTATAATATAGTGCCGTCGTTGATGTTAGAACAATCGTCGGTCTTCATCGTAACTTCCGAAGTTACCCGAAAGTGACCACGTGTTTCGAGGATTAATGGTAAACGCGAAAGCTTCGGTAAAAATACCTCGCTCTGTAATATTAATGCTGGGTAGGTTATTTTCCTGGCTGTCGTGAAAGTACTTCAGTTTTGAATATAATTCCGACTTCTTTATATATAAAGGTACAATAACTTGTAAGTTGTCAGCTTGTAGACTGTATACATGAATGTATCGTCATAATTGTAGAATTAAAGCTGAATTTGTTGTACATATTTCTTCTCAGAAATGTTGACGATTATGAGTTATACTGCTGTAACAAGGCTGCTGTTCAATTTCGATATTGAATTGTCTGCAGATATGCGTAATGGTCACGCATGTAGATAATCGTGATCGTCGTCCGGGATTGCATATACTAGCAATTTATACGAATAGTTGATTTCTGTGAAGATCTATGAAACGTCGTTGACAAATTAATACAGCGACGTTCTGTGTTGTAAATAGCCTGTGCAATTGTCTTGGCGTAGGCTTATAGATCGGCATCTGGCATACAGTTGATAGACAACTTATGCGATGTCTTGAACGGACTGAGGAGTAGCTATATATGACGAGTGGCTAGTATATGGAGACCTTGAGGAGACTTCCTCGGTGAATCCGGAGACTTCACGAAGCTCTCGGCATCCCTTCTAGATCTACTGGTGAAGTAGACTTGGAGCCACTTAGCCTTCGCGACCTTCGCGCGAAGGTATCGAAGTCAAAGTCCGATTAGAATATATATATATATATATATATAGAGCTTGCTTCGCGAATGGCCTCTGTGTTTAACAGGATGTGGGGTCGGCAAAGCGCTACTCCTCCGCGGCGTCCCTTGTAGCTGGTGAGGCTCTAGCTCCTTCGCTGGAGGCTGCCTGGGACTTGCTGGTTCTGCATAAGTAGGGCCGAGTGGATCATCTTATCATTTTCAGAAGTCGTGTTACGAAATCTGGTGATAAGTGTCTCAATGATCGCTTCTAGATCTATTTAGGCCAACGAACATACGCCTCGTCATGGATTCAACTGAACCAATTTACGATTGTAGTTCTTATTGTTGATATCGATGATCAACTTGTAGTTTTCATCGATGTCTTAAGCCTTGAAGAAGGGGTCCATGTTGTGCGTGGAAAACTTCTAGACGTGAAAGTTCGGCAATTATGGTGTCTGAACTTTTGTGGCTTTATGGGATGCTATGTCTAGATTCTGTGCTACCGCAGCAATCGGGTCGATCGGAGGTAGGGTGATAGCATCTGCGTCGTCTTCCTTCATCAGGTATGTCTGCGTCGTACTGCCACTCTAGGAAGGTGATGTAGACTTGTGTGCAGACTTGTGTGGTAACCTGTGAGGCGATCGATGTGGTGATGTACGAGGAGATCGGAGACTATTGACAGCTTCGCGAAGCTCTTGAGTAGTCCCTTGACTCTGTTAAATGACGATCTATATTCGGGTGTCCTTCCCGAGTGCCTTCGCGAACGCCTTCACGAACGCCTTCGCGAAGCTTCCTCTGCGTTCGGTGCTGGGGAACGGCGATTTGAGCTTCGCGAAGGCTTCCGTGAGGTCTGGTGGCTGAGTCTGCATCTAAGGATGAAGCCGAGGAATGTGATGATCTATCCCACCTTCGCGAAGGCCTTCGCGAAGGCTGTACATCTGGGTCCTTCGTCAAGGTGGTCTGCGACTTCCTTCGCTGAAAGGCTGCATCGCCTTGGCTGCTACGTTGACTGGAGGTGCCTCTAGAGTGTTGTCTAAGTTGGAGCCTTCCGGCGAAGGCTCGTACTCTGGGCTGGCTGCTTCTCCAGTCTGTAGTGACCCTCCATCACGACCATGATTTGCCGTAGTAGCTCGTCTGGGATGGTCTGCGGCCGAAGTAGTCGGTGCCATCTCTGCGCTGTTAGTGGTGGGGCCCTCAGGTAAGTCGTCTGACATCAGTGTAGAGACATCAGGCTGCATGACGATCTCTGCTGATGTCATTGTAGCTGTCACCGGTCGCTACTTGTCTCATACGTCGGGGATGATGATCGGCTGATCATCGTAGAGGCCAAGTTCAGCGGCTGGAACAATCTCGGTTGAGAAAGTCCTAGTAGACTTCGTTGAATTCCCCTCAGAGGTCGACGCTGCCCTGGGGGTGCGAAGTCTGCGTTGAGTGTTGGTAGCGACGGGACCCTCAGGAAGATCATCGAATGTTGATCTGCGCTGACATCACTGTTGCCGACATCAGTCATTCTTTGATGTACATCAGGAATGATGATCGGCTGATCATCATACAGGCCCAAATCTGCGATGAGAACAATCTCGGCTGAGAAAGTTCTAGTAGACTTCGTTGAATACCCCTCAGTGCGACGAAGGGATGTCTGGGGAAGCAGGATGCTTCTTGGAGGCGGCGGACTACGTCCCACGCCTCTCCACCATTCTAGCGGAAAACCAGACGGGAGGGGGGTCGACCAACAGCAGTAGACTGGCGAGGGGTTCAGGTGTATCAGTCATGCTAGACTCTGCATAATGCGACCTATCTGCTGCGCTGCCTCAAACGCAAAGTAATTATTTATTAAAGGTAGAATTGGATAAATTAGTATTGCAACTGCAACGTGAATCCCATGAAACATGGCGCAGTACAGCTAGGGCATATTAAATGCGGATCAGCAGCAGAATAAAAACGTAATGTGCAACAGTACAGAATTTTTATCAACGTAATCCACTGCAACAGCACGGGCCCGTGCATAAACAGTAGAAACACGACTAAATATCAATATATAATTGTTGAAAGATACTAGCTAAACCTCTATAGATCTCTATACGAGGTAACTAACTAAATATAATCAAAGGATATAGTGTGTCGGGAGACACAGGCGCTCTCACGTCCAGCTCACTGGGCGAAGAAGGAGAGAGTGAGGCACATGGGTAGAGGTGGCGCCCTCGTTCCCGCTCTTGTGGAAGGGAGGTAACTCGTGGTGTACTAACTAGTGATTTTACATTGAAGGGAACTTCAATTAGGGAGATACAAGTGTTCCACTATGTTCGCAAGAGGAAGGAGACAAGCAAAAAAGAGCATGAGTCAGGATAAGGAAAAATTTAGAACACTGATTGGTAACAGTAAATACTTGCTAATTAATTCCTTCTTAATTAATCCTAATTAAATAACAAACAAGTGACACCTTCAACTCAAATAGCCCGAATTAGTTTACACTACCGCATCCCTTTGATTCATGCCGCACCGTGTATAAATGTGTGGAAACAACCTCAGTTCAGAGGGATACTTGTCCTTGAAAGGTACGTGAATATCAAGTTTCTTTGCAAATATCAAGTTAAAAGGGAAATTTTGCGTGTTGGAACCATGAAATTATATCGAGATATCCAAAATATCTGTTATGCATGTTCTGGAATTTATCTACAAATGCTCCAAAAAACTAAGTCTGCCAAATGTCTGTGTCACATGGAAATCACATAGTGGTTGTAACAAAGTCTTGGAACAGCAAAATCAGATAATTTTCCTCATTTACTGGAGACAGTGAGTATATACTGCTATTAACAATATTCCAGCTCAATGACACTGAGGGACCCCAGGAACAGGCTTCACACATTGTACCCTTGTGGGAAAATCTTTTGACAAGATTCCAACCATATTGAACCTGCAGTCAAACCTGGGTATGCAGCATGTACAAGCCAGACCTACCTGTATGCTGCGAAGGATGAACAGCACAATTATGATGTAAAATCCAGTGGACACAAGCTGTAACACAAAACACATTAACATGTAAATTAATGACTTAAGTATAACAAGAATATCTCATAGATCTCATTCAACTCTACCAGCCAAAACCACATCTGCGATCACATGATCAACTGCTTCTCTGTGTCCCATCCAACAAAACCAGAACATTTGGAGATAGATGTTTCGACATGTCAGGACCTACTCTGTGGAGCAGTCTGCCTTTCAGCCTGAGGTCACATCATGAACTGTCATGCAATCTAAAGACCTACTTCTTTGGAAAGGCATACGATGTTCCTCAATAGGGACCCTTAACAAGTTTTAAACTGCCAGTTCTTAGCCCAGTACAGCGCTTTTGAGTGGTTCGACCAGATCCTAGCCCTCTACAAGCAAGGGGTTGGGTACAGATGGCCGTGAGGCCAATATGGACTGAAGTACCCACTAACGGAGATAACTCACATCTCCAGTACTCCAAACACATGGAAGAGACTAAAAAGATTAGATGAAGTCTAAGTAACGTACTCCAGGCCTTTGTCATATAGATGACATCTTGCTGATTTGGCATTAAACATCAAACAAGTTTAGCAGGGTTGCAGTTTTAGGATCAGGATAATCTGTGACAGTTATTTCACTAACTGTTTGTATTTGAGTCATTTTAATATTTTCAATGCCAAATCTTGCCCACCAAATCTTAACAGTAGTATCACCGTAATGAAATATAATTGATATTTTGCCTCAGCATTCAGAATCATTTGAGTAGAAAAGTTTTCAAGGTAAAAGTTGAAACGGTATGTGTGAATGTTAAACTTTCTGCCAATACACAGCCCTAATCACCGATTCACCATGAAGCTTCTACCATACTTCTACTCAATCCCTTTGGTTGCCTCGTAAAACCAGCATTAGTTCCCAGGAACCAGTTCGATCACCGATTCACCATGAAGCTTCTACCATACTTCTACTCAATCCCTTTGGTTGCCTCGTAAAACCAGCGTTGGTTCCTAGAAACCAGGTCGATCACCGATTAATCATGAGGCTTCTACCATGCTTCTACCCAATCCCATTGGAACCAGCGTTGGTTCCTAGAAACCAGGTCGATCACCTATTCACCATGAGGCTTCTACCATGCTTCTACCGAATCCCATTGGAACCAGCGTTGGTTCCTAGAAACCAGGTTGATCACCTATTCACCATGAGGCTTCTACCATCCTGAGAAAAGCTACCTGTTTAGCTGTATTATGTAGACAGAGGCAGATCTGTCTGGCCCCGAGCACCACCAACATACAGAAGCCAGCGCAGGACAGGTACAGAATCCTCTCAGCGATCACGAAGCCCACACGGAAAAACAGGTTGCTGGCTGGCAGGAAAGGAACTCCCAAAATTGCCAGGGACATTATGAGAATCCTGTATATAGAAAATATGGAGATATACCTGTTTGGCTATACTGCACATGCACATTTAGTCTTTACATGTTGAGCAGTTTGTAAGTTGTTTACAACACAAATCTTTGTCATTCAATCCATACTCATTAATAGTTTACACATTGTTAGAGAACATGTCAATCACCTTACCGAAATCACTTTATGAGATAATGCCCTAATTTTGAGGTTTTTATTATAAGTCTGAGTCTATGCTTGTCATCACTGTTCCATTTCGGCATCAAAAAGACACAGAAACACATGTGCACAGACAGACAAAGATGGAAGCTAACCTGCGATCCTTGGTAAGGCCTCCACGGCAGCACTGGAAGAGTAAAGCACCAAAGACAGCCCAGAGAGCTATGTCTGCCAGTATTCTGGGATCAGCCAATGAGGTGATGACAGGTATACAGCCCATCGACCAATCAAAACACAGCCACCATGGATTTACAAGCAGCCAAGAATTGATTGCATAGAGGTAGTTGTAATTCAAAATCTGTAAAACAAATTGAAAATTGCTTGACAAAAATTTATGAAATACTCATGTGAGTGTAAAAACCTAGGACAAATTTCAGTTAGTATCAGGTGATAATATCTGACCTTACGTGTCTGAGTTATCATGCACAGAAAACCATAACAGTATGATCCTAAGACAGTGTTATCATGTGTCGGTGTTATTGTAGGAGTGTTATGTGTTGGTGTTATTGGAGGACAGCGTTATCATGTGTCAATGTTATTGAAGGACAGTGTTATGTGTCGGTGTTATTGTAGGACAGTGTTATGTGTCGGTGCTATTGTAAGACAGTGTTATGTGTCGGTGCTATTGTAGGAAAGGGTTATGTGTCGGTGCTATTGTAGGACAGTGTTATGTATCAGTGTTATTGCAGGACAGTGTTATGTGTCGGTGCTATTGTAGGAAAGGGTTATGTGTCGGTGCTATTGTAGGACAGTGTTATCATGTGTCGGTGTTATTGTATGACAGTGTTATGTGTCAGTGCAATTGTAGGAAAGGGTTATGTGTCGGTGTTATTGTAGGACAGTGTTATCATGTGTCGGTGCTATTGTAGGACAGTGTTATTGTATGTGTTGGTGCTATTGTAGGACAGTGTTATGTATCAGTGCTATTGTAGGACAGTGTTATTGTGGGACAGTGTTATGTATCAGTGTTATTGTAGGACAGTGTTACCATGTATCAGTGTTATTGGAGGACAGTGTTATTGTATGTGTTGGTGCTATTGTAGGACAGTGTTATGTGTCAGTGTTATTGTAGGACAGTGTTATGTGTCAGGGTTATTGTAGGACAGTGTTATGTGTCGGTGTTATTGTAGGAAAGGGTTATGTGTCGGTGATATTGTAGGACAGTGTTATGTGTCAGTGTTATTGTAGGACAGTGTTATGTGTCGGTGCTATTGTAGGAAAGGGTTATCATGTGTCGATGTTACTGTAGGACAGTGTTATGTGTCGGTGCAATTGTAGGACAGTGTTATGTGTCAGTGTTATTGTAGGACAGTGTTATGTGTTGGTGTTAATGAAGGATAGTGTTATGTGTCAGTGTTATTGTTGGACAGTGTTATTGTATGTGTTGGTGTTATTGTAGGACAGTGTTATCAAGTATCAGTGTTATTGTAGGACAGTGTTATCATGTGTCGATGTTACTGTAGGACAGTGTTATGTGTCGGTGCAATTGTAGGACAGTGTTATGTGTCAGTGTTATTGTAGGACAGTGTTATGTGTTGGTGTTAATGAAGGATAGTGTTATGTGTCAGTGTTATTGTTGGACAGTGTTATTGTATGTGTTGGTGTTATTGTAGGACAGTGTTATCAAGTATCAGTGTTATTGTAGGACAGTGATATCATGTGTCGGTGCTATTGTAGGGCAGTGTTATTGTATGTGTCGGTGCTATTGTAGGACAGTGTTATTGTATGTGTTGGTGCTATTGTAGGACAGAGATATCATGTGTCGGTGTTATTGTAGGACAGTGTTATGTATCAGTGTTATTGTAGGACAGTGTTATGTATCAGTGTTATTGTAGGACAGTGTTATCATGTATCAGTGTTATTGTAGGACAGTGTTATTGTATGTGTTGGTGTTATTGTAGGACAGTGTTATTGTATGTGTTGGTGCTATTGTAGGACAGTGACATCATGTGTCGGTGTTATTGTAGGACAGTGATATCATGTGTCGGTGTTATTGTAGGACAGTGATATGTGTCGTGTTATTGTAGGACAGTGTTATTGTATGTGTTGGTGCTATTGTAGGACAGTGTTATTGTATGTGTTGGTGTTATTGTAGGACAGTGTTATGTGTCGGTGCTATTGTAGGACAGTGTTATGTATCAGTGTTATTGTAGGACAGTGTTATGTATCAGTGTTATTGTAGGACAGTGTTACTGTATGTGTCGGTGCTATTGTAGGACAGTGTTATCATGTATCAGTGTTATTGTAGGACAGTGTTATTGTATGTGTTGGTGTTCTTATTGAACAGTGTCAGTATTATAAACATTAGTCAGCATTGTAGGACGTTATCACATGATAGTGTTATGTATTAGTGTTATCAAAGGTCAGTGTCAAGTATCCCTGTCATGAGGCATTGTGTATTCATCACTGTTATCATAAGATGATGTTACTATACGTAAGTCCTATAATTTGTCTGTGTTATCAAGTATCATTGACATCTTAAGGCATAGTTATCATATGCCTCGGTTATATTGTATACCAATTATCATGGAACAATGTAAAGTGTCAGGAATGTCACGGGACAGTATGATATAGAAAAACAGTGTCATGACAAGAGTTGCTGTGTCGCTGTTATAATGTGTCAGTGTGTTGGGAGTTTGTGCTTACTTTCAATATTGTGCCATTCACAAAGGAATGTGGATTATCATGCACTTGGAATATGGGTGTTGTTGATCCCATGACCCGTAGTCGTGTGATGAGGAGTGATGCTCCGGTCACTAACAGGATGAGGTGACGCACGATGAGACCCTTCACCCATGGAGATATCTCCGACTGCAACACAAAGCAAAAAACACATGACATTCCTTTGTCATATCTTCAATGTCCTTAACAACATATGCTTCATTCACATTTTGCATGTTCGTGGCCATTGACATTATTTGACAATTATTTACTACTAGATGTTCATAATACAATTGTTTGGTTTCAGATAATTTTATCAGCAGTGATTTGTGCATGTTTCCTAAAATGGATGAGGCAAATACACATGAACATGCCTAGTGGGGCATACGTAGGATATACCATGCTTTCCTCAGTGTATCGATCAATACACATGAACATGCCTAGTGGGGCATACGTAGGATATACCATGCTTTCCTCAGTGTATCGATCAGTACACTAACAGTGAATGAATGAATGAATGAATGAATGAAACATTATTAAAAGAAAAGCTAAACACATATGTTCATGAAACATCTTGTAAAACCCCTTTGAAATAAAATGAGTGAGTGAGTGAGTTTGGTTTTATGCCACTTTTAGGAACATTCCAGCAATGTCATGGCAGGAGACACCAGAAATGGGCTTCACACATTGTACCCTTGTGAACCTCGGTCTTCGGCGTGATGACCGAATGCTTTAACCACTTGGCTACCCCACTGCCCTCTTTAAGATAAAACGATGAGGCTGCAGGAGTAAAGGCTTGTAGTGAGTGAGTGAGTTGAGATTTACGCCGCACTCAGCAAAATTCCAGCTATATGGTGGCCGTCTGTAAATAATCGAGTCTGGACCAGACAATCCAGTGATCAACAGCATGAGCATCGATCTGCGCAATTGGGAACCGACATGTAAAGGCTTGTACACCTGGACCACCTTCACAAAGCAATCTTAGTACAATGACTATCATATGGTAAATATAAAAGTGTCGTAGTTCTACGACCCCTTTGTGAAAGAGGACCATGGATAGGGGGGTGTTACTTCCACTATAGCCTCCATTCTCTTACTCTCTGTTGCCTCACCTTGTTTTTGACGTGATTATTATTGAATCCATTATGACCATTCTCTTCAGATTTCTTTGGTTTCCTGAATGGCAGTAGCTGGAAGGGGTCGACTCTGCACACGATGATGACGTCAAACACACAACAGACACCCTGAAAGTCCAAGCAGTTGTGACTTTAGCATATGATAACATTAAGGGTATACTTTAGTCAGTAGTATCAAGCCCAAGTCTAGTAACATTACCTTTAGTTTCGATTTTCGATAACCATTATCACTATTTCGATTCGATATTTGAATACCTATTTAAATTGTTTCCACACAGCTAGAACGTAATTTTTACTCCAACTCTATCAGTTCCGGGCGCTGACATAAGGCGAAGTTGATTGGTTGACGCCAGGCAAATTATCCAATGACAATTCCTGTTAGTAGACATTGCCAAGTTGACAATGGATTTCACGCTAAAAAAGCTGAATCTGAGAGTTTAATTAAATCTGATGTTTTTACTTGCATTAAGAATCGATTCGAGGGTCCAATATCGAAAATTGAATCGAGGTCTGGTTGAATCGTTGCAGCCCTATTCGTCACTAGTATCAAGCCTGAGCCCAGTAACGTTGCTTTTAGTCATATTTGGAACATTTTTGGATACTCAGTTACATGACTAAAACACTTACTATGACAGTGATGCCCTGCTCCTTACAGAAGGTGGACACGACACACAGACACATACTGGCCAGTATAGACACCAGGGAGAAGGACTCGGGACGGTAGCTGACCGAGCATGAAGCTGAAATCAGAAAGATCCATGACATGACACACAGACACATACTGGCCAGTATAGACACCAGGGAGGACTCGGGACGGTAGCTGACCGAGCATGAAGCTGAAATCAGAAAGATCCATGACATGACACACAGACACATACTGGTCAGTATAGACACAAGGGAGAAGGACTCGGGACGGTAGCTGACCGAGCATGAAGCTGAAATCAGAAAGATCCATGATATGAAACAGACACATACTGGCCAGTATAGACACCATGGAGAAGGACTCGGGACGGTAGCTGACCAAGCATGAAGCTGAAATCAGAAAGATCCATGACACGACACAGACACATACTGGCCAGTACAGACACCAGGGAGAAGGACTTGGGACGGTAGCTGACCAAGCATGAAGCTGAAATCAGAAAAATCCATGACATGACACACAGACACATACTGGCCAGTATAGACACCAGGGAGAAGGACTTGGGACGGTAGCTGACCAAGCATGAAGCTGAAATCAGAAAAATCCATGACATGAAACACAGACACATACTGGCCACTATAGACACCAGGAGAAGAACTCGGGACGGTAGCTGACCAAGCATGAAGCTGAAATCAGAAAGATCCATGACACGACACACAGACACATACTGGCCAGTACAGACACCAGGGAGAAGGACTCAGGACGGTAGCTGACCAAGCATAAAGCTGAAATCAGAAAGATCCATGACATGACACACAGACACATACGGGCCAGTATAGACACCAGGGAGAAGGACTCGAGCTCACCCGAGATGACGCTGTAAAACAGAATTAACATCAACAACAGTTTTACTGTAGACGTGTAGAAGTCTCCTGTATGTATTGAGTTAGGGAGCATATGATGCAGCTATAGGAACTTACATGAGAGGCAGGCCCTGGCATACAGGAGGAATGACAGAAGGAAGGTCAAGGCACACAGCAGGTCGGCCCGACCCACGACCCCTGCTACCTGGAACACAGCAAGGTCAAGGCTTCATAATTATCCAATACAATTGACCTTCAAGGAAAAGCAGAGCAATAATTCTGTCAGGACACATATAAAACATATAAGTTTAATAGCTCATAATCTGAATAGGGCCTAATACTACTGGCCCGAAACATTTTTTAATATTTAGTGACACCAAGATGTACCAAAGGCTGATTAATGGACAGATTGCCACGGAATTTTGCAGAAAAATATCATCAAACACATAAAATATTCTTCAAAAATAAAAGAAAGGTAAGTTTTAGCACAAGACATACCGTTTATTACCATAGATAAGCTGAATTTTGAGGACCCCCAAAAAAACAGTCTGTAGAAGGGGTTGGCTTATGGCTTACATTTTCATCAAACTTTATGCCAGGGAGTAAGAAAACGACATCATATCGCTTCACGTGAACAAACAAGAGAAGACAACTTTGTCAGTAAAGACGTCAAATTTGCAATTAATCATTACTAGACAAGATCATTTACCTTTTAAGTTCTAATTTGTTTTTTGCTGGGCATTTTATTATTTGCAGGGATTAAGATTACCATGTGTATTTGTCTTGTATATGTTACAGGAAATATGTATAATCAGTAAATATGTATAATGTCTGATTCACTATGGAGGTATTTATCAGAACTACTCACACTCTCAGTGTGGATTGGATGCACAGCAAACAACACAGCACACAGGAGAGCAGCTCGGGGCGAGGCAAACACCGGCCTGGCAGATTCCTGGTCAACCTGGTAACCAGACATGAGGACAGAGAATACTGCCAGGAAGATGACCGACACCAAGCCGTGCAGGACGATGTTGACAACGTGGAAGCCCCGAGGATGAAGCCCATCAGCCCATGCATAGTTCCACCTGGAACAAAGAACAGGCACGACAGCTATAGAAATGTATCGTTAGAGTTGCAAATATGTCAGCAAATATTTAAACGCGACATGTTTTGAGTTACAAGAAGCCTGAATCTATAAGTAAGGGTTGTTATAAGTCTGAAACATACAAATGTAAAATAAGACAGCGTAATCAGATCAAGTCAAATCATAGTGGTCTCTATGACTTTTCACAAACTTTTACTGGAACTAACTGACAGGAAGTTGACATTGACCAATCAGGAAGCATCTATCTGAAACTTCATAGCATTATATTTTAATTGGCGACATCAATTCCAGATTAAGCTTTGAAACACAATGCTTCAGTATTCTTGATATAAAATGTAAAAACTCAAATGAATTACTAGAACACTTTTCCTAATTTTGGACACTATTCCTATTCCACACTCTGCATCTCTCCATTTTCTTTAGTTGGTTGGTTTATTGTATAATGCTGCACTCAGCAATACTACAGCTATATGACGGCGGTCTGTAAATATTCAAGGCTGCACCAGCCAATCCAGTGACCAACAGCATAAACCTCGATCTATGCAATTGGGATACGATGCCTCTTACGAAAAGCAGGGGCTGCTACAGACTTATTCTAACCTCGATCTTCCCGACTACTCCATTCTCTATTGATCCTGCAGGGTACAGATAAGCTGCATACCTCCGGAAATTTCGCAAATATTTATGCTATTAAGACTATGGCATACAAGTACGCTTGAATTTTTGTAAATACTCAATAAATGTGATCTTACATGCATACACACAGTCATGTCAAATCTTAGCTTACGTACCGGAGGTTAGATAAAATAACTGAGGTATACTGAGAGGTAGTCTGTCGTACAGATCCTGAAGCAAATATACCGAAGAAAGCCCACGCAAGTCTAGAAAATGTGGCAAGTCTAGATTTCCTCAGCTTCTGAAAATGAAGAAAGTCTCAGGGCTCCTTTTCATTATATATATATATATTTTTTTTACTATGCACTTTTTTCAGTAAAATATGTTCATTTCAGAGACTATAGTTTGGCATGAAATGCATGTGGACCCGTTTTTAGTAAATATCTCTTCATCCAATGACCCAATCGATCTCAAACTGTGCAAGTGGATGTTTTATCAGACAACCTAATCACATTGTAAATCACCGATTTTATGCATTTGTATTAAAGAATCTGTCTATGTAATTGTCAACAAAATAAACAGCAGAACGCAGAATGCTTGCAGAGGGAGGGAGCCAATGACCTGTAACAGCGTCAGTGTTGGGTCATAAAGGTCAACGTTCGTCAATGTAGGTCAGCTATGCACGTAACAGGTATGAAGAGGTGTCACAGGTCGTGAATAGGGTAAGGTGGGTGCCAACTGTTAACCATCATACGGAGTTTGTTTCTCTGAGTTGTTCAACATTAACCACAAACCCATTAGTGAGAATTATTCTGTAGGTTGAAATATTTAAATTTTGCAAATAGCCGGCGAATGACATCTCTGATGACCCTGATGTCAAAAGAATCTAACTTTGAATGCCTACCTTTTTGTACAAGGTTTTGTTTATTGGTTGTTGGTTTATTTTTCGCAATTTTTAGCACGATGTTCTTTTTCATGCCAAGAGCAAAAGTTGTACGTTTCATGTAATCCGACACCTTATAAATCGGTTTGCTACGTTTGCTCTCTTTTTAAAAAAAATTCAACACATTTCTAATGAAACGTTTAGGATCATCTGAATAAGCTTTCATGATGACAGCTAGAAGTAGTCAATGTGAATGATCCAAACGGTCTATCACTGTGCCGTGCACAGGTACCTATCATGAACTGCACGTGCATTGACCTTTATGACCCAACACTGCCGCTGTTACAGGTCATTGGCTCCCTCCCTCTGCAAGCATTCTGCGTTCTGCTGTTTATTTTGTTGACAGTTAACTCGTAGGTTAAGCATAGCAAGTTCGCACAGAGTGTGAAAGTAAACAACCCCACCCACCTCATGGTCTATTAGAGAGCACCGGTCAGGGTGGCAGGACACTGTCCACTGGAGAGAACAGAACGGCCAAAGCGTGATAGTGCCTGATAAAAGTGCTAGGCCGGCTCCAAATAGCGGCAGAGCATATCTCTTCAATGGGTAGTGCCGATGCAAAAGCTTTTGACGGGGCTACTGCCCTGACGGGTGAGCCTTCAACCCCTCAGGGGGAGGCTTGCCCTTAGCCTGGTAAGCAGCACGAATGACCGAAACAAGCCAGCGAGACAGGGTCTGTTTGCCCGCCAGCACCGCAGCCTTCCCACCACCGTAACAGCAGAACAGATGGATCCCTTGTGTTCGTTTGATATAGACCTTGAGAGTCTTTCGGACATCCAACGGGTGAGTGCTCGTAGGAGCGGTCCCCGATGTGGAAGGCTGGGTAAGAGTAGGAAGTTCGATAGGAGCTGTCACATGGAAAGCGTGATCGACTTTCAGGCGGTAAGTATTCGGGAGGCGAATACTGACACGGTCTAGATGGAACACAGTCAGCGACGGGTCTGCCGACATAGCATGTAAGTCGCGACCCTAGGCCCAGATGTTACCGCCACCAGAAATACAGCCTTCCATGTTAACAACTGAATGGAAATAGCCGATAGACGTGAGAACGTAGGACCGGACAGCCAATCTAGCACGATTGACAAATCCCAAGGTGGGCTGGTTCACCTGACAGCAGGTCGAACCCGATCCACGCCAGCTAAAAAGCGCTGCATTAGCAGGTGCTGCCCTAGAAGAGCACCATCGACAGGGGTGTGAAAAGTGGAAATAGCGGTGGAGTAGCCACGAATGGTTGAAGCCGCCAAGCCTTCTTCCAAACGAACTTGCAAAAACTCCAATACTCGGACTAAATCTGCAGAAAAGGGATCTGCAATCCCCTTATCTGAACATCAGCGCTCATAGCGGGACCACCTATCCTCATACTGAATGTTTGTCGAATCCCGCCTCGAAGCCAGAATTGTGTCTGTAACTGCTGCAGGAATTCTGCGTGCTTCGAGGCTAGACCTGACAGAGGCCAAGCCACCCACTGAATCCTTGGATTGGGGTATGGCGTGCCGTTCTGAGTGAGAATGTCCGGTCGCAAAGGTAATAGAACAGGAGGCTGAGCCAGAAACCTGAGAATTACCGGAAACCAGCTCTGTGACGGCGATAGCGGTGCCAGTAGCACAAGTAGCCGAGCTGGACAGCTGGGAGAGGACCCGGGGAATGAGTGGTAGCGGCGGAAACGCCCAGAGCACTTTGCCCGTCCAATCCAGCAGGAAGGCATCGGAAGCCAACGCCCTCTGGTCCCGTATTCGAGAGCAGAACACGGGTATCTGATTCGTCCCGCCAGACGCAAACAGATCCACCTGGAACGATCCGTACAACTGGAAGATAACTCCGAATATCTGCCGGTCGAGCATCCACTCGTGCGGGGCCAGGATCCGGCGAGAGCGAGCGTCTGCTTGCACGTTCTCCAGCCCCGAGAGATAAACAGGAAGCACCTGACAGTCGCACTGGTCGCACCAGAGGAGAAACTCCCACGTCTCCCGAAGGAGCGCTAGGGACACCATGCCGCCTTGCTTCAGGATGTACGTCATGGTCGTACGGTTGTCCAACTGAAGATGAACCACCTGGCCCTGAACATGCTCCCGGAAGCGCTTGAAAACCAACTGCACAGCTCTCAGTTCCAAGACGTTGATGTGAAGGCGGGCTTCGGCTTCGGACCAGAGTCCAGACACCAATAGACCGCCCAGAACACCCCCCAGCCAGGGGTATGCGCTCTATTGCGGACTTGTCCAGCAAAGCCTGAACTTCGTCGCGCAGTATACCCACCCTGACCTGACATGACGGCACCGGAGTGAATTCTGGCGGGCCTCGCTTCCACAGTGGTAGATGGCCGACACTGACGGTGGAAAGCACCCAAGTGTTGCTGGTAGCCTTCTCCCACTCCGGTAGGAATAGAGGGAGGCGGCCCCCCACTGGGACGTGTGGTAAGAGAGCGTGAGTAGTCCCGAGTAGATGAACTGACTGGGACGGACCCACGGCGACAGCCTGTTGGGTTAACGGTTAATATTGAACGGTTTTAGAGTTCTGCTCCGGAAAAGACAAATGTGCACGGACGGACGGAAGCCTGCACGGACGGAGTCCATTTAAGTACCCCCCGCAAATCGCGTTGAGGGGTATAACAAGGTAATAAATGGAGTCAAACCCCACATTTTCCTGACCATTGGAAACCACCCCGATGGTTGCCTTGCCCAGCAGAGACTGGATCTCGGCACAGAGTATTTTCGCCGTCTCCCGGGAATGCAGTCCCTAGCCAGATGAGAGTTGACCTCCGTGAGATGCCGCCCAGAGTCGCCGATGAAAAATCACCGACACTCTTTCCCCTTTCCACCAGCTCCCTCAGCAGAGCTGAGTGAAGCGTCGAGTGGAGCATCCAGCTGGTTGAGCTGTTAAGGGGAAACTATGGCAGACTGACGGTAGAGTGTGAGGCCTTGTCCCGGATGCCTTGCTGGAAGCAGGCTTCCCTCTGGGAGGCAAACTCTAACGGTTCGGGTATTCGACACGGACAACACCTGAGGCAACACAGCCGCGATTCTATCTCGCACTTGCCTCAGGAACGAACCTACTCAGTGTTAAGTTCAAAGTAGTGAAAAGAGCCAAAGCTCAAATCGACTTCCCCACTGTACGAGCCTGATCCCCGGTTCCGAGGCACATGGCAGTAGCCGGATAAATCAGGGTATCCCAAGCACTCAGACAGACCTCAGAGTGTCGAGGTGACCGACACACCCGGCACACTCGATAGCTTCTTGGTCAAGGCGTTGATAGACATCAGACTGAGACCTGACCAAAGCTCGGCGGTTCAAGACCGAACCCTGATCCCAAGACACGTAGGAGTAGCCTGATAAATCAGGGTTCCCCCAATACTGTCTCCAAAAGCGCACTGAGGATATAGTGAAACATAGCCTTTAGCGCTATATAAATGCCCATACATATACATATATAATATAGATATAAGTGCTCGGGTCGGCGGTTCAAGTTCGAACCCCGATCCCGAAACACCTGGGAGTAGCCTGACAATGCAAGGTTCCCCTGGTGTACACGGGTAGACCTCGCTGCGTCGAGGTGATTGGTAGCTCCATCACACTCAACAGCCTCTTGGCCAGGGCGTCAATAGACATCAGGCCGAGACCTGAGCTAACAGGGCCGGGGATCTGCTCCGTACCGGGGCCGAAGCCTAGGTTGGTGCTAGTCCAACCCCTGGTCCCAAGACACATGGGAGTAGCCTGGGACTGCAGGGTTTCCCTGGTGTACACGGGTAGACTTTGGAGCGTCGAGGTGATTGGCAGCTCAGTAGCTCCATCACACTCAACAGCCTCCTGGCCTGGGCGTCGATAGACATCAGGCCGAGACCTGAGCTACCGGCGCAGGGGATCTGTGCCCTACCGGGGCTGAAGCCTGTGTTGGTGCTAGTCCCCAGGTTCAGAGCGTCCCCTGAGCCGGGGCTCTGGTCCGATCATCCCCGGGAGGTCAGACCCTTCCCAGAGCCAGAGCTCGGGTCGGGACCTCCCCCAAAAAATGCGCCGGTGTAATCTCTACCCGTAGACCGGGTACCAATCTCCTCTCAGAGTCTGGAAACCACGTCTGAGATAAGAGCGTGGTCTCACAAGACAAAACGAGTTTTTTGTTTTGTAAATATTTTAATGCTTATATGTACCCCAAGGAGGACTTCTTCTGAAAAAGAATAGGATTCCCAACTGAGATAAACACAAGCGAGTACATAACTCAATGAACCAAAAAGTTATCTGTAGCTCTGATCCTGCTTGGTACAGTTACAATGTGTGTATAATACATGGACACAACAATGGGAAGATGTTATCATATGCACATTAAACCAGAAATAACATGTAAAAAAATCTGCATTGGAGTATGCTAGTTAGTTCTGTTATTAGTCTATCTTTTCATCTGAGCTGTCTGTCTGGTATTTTGTAAATTATCGTGTCAAGTGATTTTTTATTGTGAATGGCATAACAAGCTCACAAACTCCTGCTAGCACCATCACCTTAACTCAAGGCACAGTTCAGTTGTGTGTATGCAATTTTTTAATTGCAAAGGAAATCAACTGCACGCTATGATGGATCTCGTCATTTATAATGCTGCAGCAATTCACTGCTGTCGTATGTTCAAGACGAGGAATATTTATTAAAAAAATCTCAAGGGAAAACACAGATGAAACATACAGCAGACTTTGTCCTGATACGACAGAACCGGAGAACCCAAACTATTCTTTTTGATGTATGGATTTCTAAAATTTTGACTCACTTGTTAACCCATACATGTAGGACATATTCTTAATTATCATCTAATGGAGGGTGTTTTCGGTGCAATAAAGTAATCTGATAAACTTGGTATCCAAATCTGATAACTATGCAAATTACGTCAATCCACAAACTACTTTCTCAAAATGCCGTGCAAATCCTAAAACGTTAACATTTCATTGATGATGTCGTCGTGAGTTTACATTGCGTGGATGAGTTTGTAAACAAACATGGCTGTCCCCATTATCAAAATTGGTGATTCTGTAAGAATTGATGACAGAGGTTCTGGAGTCGATACTGCAGTAATTTCACTTTGGAAAACATGAAATGGAGAACTTTGTTCAAATTGAAGGTACGGATTATGAGACACGAGTGACAGGCTAATGTCTAAGAAAGGTACCAACCAAGGATTTCGATCTATCGATCACAAGAAGAAGACCACGAATCGATTCAGTCAGGTATCAGAAACTGATACTGATGAGGTGATTACACGCAATGAAAATAGAATCACTACCAAGAAAACCCTGCCTGATTTTGTTGTTCTTTTTAGACAGAAAGATATTATTTTAGGCATGAGATATGTTTGCACTGTATTAGCGACTAGTCACAACCATATGCCTCCATCATGAAAGACCTTCATCTTGGTGTACCACTAAGTATTCTTACGCGAATGCTCGATTCTCTTCATATAAAATTCACGTGCGATTTGCTTCTTAATGTTAAGAATGACATTATATGATAAAGAGATTATTAACCTCTTGTGTTTTCGTATCATTAATATCATATATTAGGAATAAATAATATGTATTATTCCTAATATATGATAATAATGACACGGAAACACACAAGGTTAATAATCTCTTTATATCACACAGCAGTCAGTGAAGAGGATGAAAGTGTGAAGTACCTGTATGTCATTATGGTGAGTGGCCTGTATGATTTGTGACTCGTCTTAGAGTCCAACTTCCTCCCCCAGAAGTCATGAGCAAAGATGGCTTGAAGCGGCGTCTCAGGAAGCAAGTCTTTGTTGCCGATAATGGCTTCACTGTCATCAAACACAAAGTCTCCATCATAACTGTTCACAAAACACAACACGGCCAGACAGAAGATGAGGACAGATGCCACAGAGAAGCTGAGTTTGGGTACAGGCAGCACGTCATCCCAGTCTGGTCGCGGGTAGCTGCTTACATGGCCGTTTGTCTTGGAGGATCTGGAGGTTGTTCTAGGTGTGCTTGCCATTATGCTACATCATTCTGAAAGACGAGATAAACATATGTCAAATTGGATTATTTTCAATAGAAATTGTAGTGGAGAAACCCTGTGGGGACCCTGTACAGGTTCCGCTGTATATTGCCAGGCAGGAAATACTGGAGAATCTGCATAAACTGGTATTCTACCATTGAGCCTAAAATCAGGATACAACACTGTCTTGCTGGGGCCCTTATAGAATATGTTTGCCACTCAGAATGAAAAAAGAAAGAAAGGCTAACCCTAACCTAACCCTGGGTATTAGAGGAAAGGATTATTGGTAAACATGGTGAAACTGTTATAAAATAAGGTGGCGAACATATGCTATAATCGCATCTCTTGCTGTATTGGTAGTCACTAGTCTGAGGGAGGGGAGGGGGTGGAGGCAGAGGGAGGGAGAGTGGAGATTGACCATTTCCTCATTGTTAAGAAGCTAAATGTTTTCAAGAATGATTTGCTGTAAAGCATTATAGTGTAGAGTTAAAGTAGCTATTATGATTTAACGTTCACTTCGACTACAATACAAGGGAGCCGTAAATGATATGTCGGAGATGTTTTACAGGGCGGTATGCTAAATAGTTTAACCGATGGCGAATCTCTCACCGAACGCCTTTCTCAACAGCGCATTTCATACAAAACTCGGACAGAAACAAACACGACGGGCAATGATCACAAAATTTACCGACTCAAAATGACACACCACTTACAAACATTTAATAACAATCATACTTATTTCTGTTCAACCGACCAAAAGATAATAGAATTTAATCCCCTGTTACTAAAAATGTCAACAGACATCTCTAATTTCACTAAAATCACGCTTGCAGAACATGACAGGAGCCCGTCTTCTCTGTCCCTGTTTACACTTGTGTTTATAAGGCTCTAGATCTAAAAACTAAAGGCAAGGAAAAATACTGAGTGATATTTGCCCACAAGACATGTACACGATTGATTTATGTACACCTAATGTTCGACCTAATTGTGTTAAGTTTGGAAATAATTACCGTCTGTCCATCTGTCACTCTCCACATGGAGTATCTTCTCGTTTTGTAGCTACCGTAATCGTCATTCCTATAACGACATTGACTTTTAAATCTGTTCAGAATATTTGTTTCATTTAGATCCTCTGTTTGTTGCTACTTAGCTAAACTGGTTGAATATTGTATCATAATAACGATTTTAATAGGAAAAATACGAGAACTGATTAGAGAAATGTCGTAATATTCAATACAGAGTTATGGCCCCTTGACTATTTTTTCATTGCTTGCATTCAAGTCTCAGCGAGTGAAATACAATCACTTCATTCATTTCATCAGGGACACTATATAACGTAGTAGATTATCCCTGATTTCATGCTGCGTAATTTTGAAACGAATGTGACCATTTAGTTCGAATATTCTAGGCAATATGATCAGACTAAACTACTAATAAATCTATTGTTAATGCTTCACAGTCTAATTACAATCTGTTTTGTTAAATGATTTGACATTTGCTTAATCAATAATTTACAAACGCACAAACAAAAACTGGAGGCAAATTAAGAAAGTGTGAAGTATGGTATTTTGATGATTGCAAGTTAAAAATATCTACATGCTATAGTTATTTAGGTTTATTGTTTTCTAACAGGCTATCGTGGTCTAAATCTGTCCAAAATCTTGTAAATAAGGCTAATAAAGCCTTGTCTTTAGTTAAGCTTTTTGCTGCTAGATTGTAAAATGTATCACTTATTGTTTTATTCAAAATATTTGATGTACAAATTAAACCTATTATTTTATATATCTCTGAAATATGGGGTTTCCATAAATGGGATGTCATTGAGCAATTTCATATAAGGTTTTGTAAGTATGTTTTAGGTGTCAACTATAAGAGTACAAAAGTTGCTGTTTCAGCAGAGTGTGGGAGAAATTATGTTTATGCTTACTTTTTATTGAGAGCAATTAGATATTGGTTTAAAAAAATTTAATTTACCTAATGAAAGGTACCCTAAGCAATGTTATATTATGCTGTGTAATATTGTCAGAGCAGGTAGGATGTTAAACAAATTTTATTCAAATAAGGATTTGGTTATATATGGGAGGCACAAGGAGTTGGGGACAGGGAAATATTTTTACAAAGAATTTAATCTTAGGGTAAAGGATTGCCATCAACAATCAATTTTTGAAGATTTGCATAAATTACTAGTATCATCTTTCGATGTTTTTTCATCAGTTAAACAGATTTTTGGTATTGAACCATATCTAACTTTTATCAAATCTAAAGATGCAAGACGTAGAATTACTTTACTAAGAATAGGTGCACTTCCTGTATTTAACAATACTGGTAGACCGGATGGATTACCCACGCCTCAAAGACTTTGTAGGTTTTGTAATAGTGGTAATATTGAAGATGAATTTTACTTTATGTTTGAGTGCCCCATTTATCATGATCTTCGTCAAAAATATTTTAAATGTATGCCAGTGTACATCAATAGCCATTACTTCATTAAAACACTTCTTTGTAATATTTATATTTTAAAGGTATGCCAGTGTACATCAATAGCCATTACTTCATTAAAACACTTCTTTGTAATATTTATATTTTAAAGGTATGCCAGTGTACATCAATAGGCATTATTTCATAAATACACTCCTTCAGCTTGCTACCAATTGTGCAAATTATGTAAAAGTTGCGCTTGCATTACGTAAATCATATATGTAGTACAAACATAATATTAAAAAACTATTATCATGTTTTTTGTACGTGGGCCTAAGGCCTTTTCACGAAATAAACTGATTGATTGATTGAAAAAAACCCGTAAAACACAGTTTTGTTGAACAGTTTAAACACTATGGATGAAGTTTATTTATTTGTTGTTTAACACAGCAATCAACCGTAACAGCGACATCATGCGGAAAAAAGAAGAAAAACATAAATATTCTTACTTGCTTACTGTTACCTAAAATACGTTTATGTTTTACCAATTTTAACCTTGGATCAAATTAACATGCACATCGTATTATATTATTATCTAAAATGTAGAATAATACCACATTAAATAAAATATCAAACAATTATTCTTGACATATTTGCCAATATGTTTTGAAAACTGAACTCTGTACTTTCTACTAAAGGTAATAAGAGATTTCTTTCTTACAGTCAGATAAAGATTGAAGAAAGGAAGTAGCTGAATATTCATTTATACTTTTAACTTAAAATATACATACAATATTAGTCTTACTGCATTCTAAAATGTACATTGTATCAAAGTTTTTACTTAAAATATGCATTCGGCTTACAACATTCTAGCAATGTGGATCGTGTGACAGCTGTATCTTGAAATAGGCCTGCAATATTCGGCTTACAACATTCTAGCAATGTGGATCGTGTGACAGCTGTATCTTGAAATATGCCTGCAATATTCGGCTTACAACATTCTAGCAATATGGATCGTGTGACAGCTGTATCTTGAAATATGCCTGCAATATTCGGCTTACAACATTCTAGCAATGTGGATCGTGTGACAGCTGTATCTTGAAATATGCCTGCAATATTCGGCTTACAACATTCTAGCAATATGGATCGTGTGACAGCTGTATCTTGAAATATGCCTGCAATATTCGGCTTACAACATTCTAGCAATATGGATCGTGTTACAGCTGTATCCTGAAATATGCCTGCAATATTAGACTTACAACATTCTAGCAATGTGGATCGTGTGACAGCTGTATCTTGAAATGGGCCTGCAATATTCGGCTTACAACATTCTAGCAATATGGATCGTGTTACAGCTGTATCTTGAAATATGCCTGCAATATTCGGCTTACAACATTCTAGCAATGTGGATCGTGTGACAGCTGTATCTTGAAATATGCCTGCAATATTCGACTAACAACATTCTAGTAATATGGATCGTGTGACAGCTGTATCTTGAAATATGCCTGCAATATTAGACTTACAACATTCTAGTAATATGGATCGTGTGACAGCTGTATCTTGAAATATGCCTGCAATATTCGGCTTACAACATTCTAGTAATATGGATCGTGTGACAGCTGTATCTTGAAATATGCCTGCAATATTCGGCTTACAACATTCTAGCAATGTGGATCGTGTGACAGCTGTATCTTGAAATATGCCTGCAATATTCGGCTTACAACATTCTAGCAATGTGGATGGTGTTACAGCTGTATCTTGAAATATGCCTGCAATATTCGGCTTACAACATTCTAGCAATGTGGATCGTGTGACAGCTGTATCTTGAAATATGCCTGCAATATTCGGCTTACAACATTCTAGCAATGTGGATGGTGTTACAGCTGTATCTTGAAATATGCCTGCAATATTCGGCTTACAACATTCTAGCAATGTGGATGGTGTTACAGCTGTATCTTGAAATATGCCTGCAATATTCGGCTTACAACATTCTAGCAATGTGGATGGTGTTACAGCTGTATCTTGAAATATGCCTGCAATATTCGGCTTACAACATTCTAGCAATGTGGATGGTGTGACAGCTGTATCTTGAAATATGCCTGCAATATTCGGCTTACAACATTCTAGCAATGTGGATGGTGTGACAGCTGTATCTTGAAATATGCCTGCAATATTCGGCTTACAACATTCTAGCAATGTGGATGGTGTTACAGCTGTATCTTGAAATATGCCTGCAATATTCGGCTTACAACATTCTAGAAATGTGGATCGTGTGACAGCTGTATCTTGAAATATGCCTGCAATATTAGACTTACAACATTCTAGTAATATGGATCGTGTGACAGCTGTATCTTGAAATATGCCTGCAATATTAGACTTACAACATTCTAGTAATATGGATCGTGTGACAGCTGTATCTTGAAATATGCCTGCAATATTAGACATACAACATTCTAGCAATGTGGATCGTGTGACAGCTGTATCTTGAAATATGCCTGCAATATTAGACTTACAACATTCTAGCAATGTGGATCGTGTGACAGCTGTATCTTGAAATATGCCTGCAATATTAGACTTACAACATTCTAGCAATGTGGATCGTGTGACAGCTGTATCTTGAAATATGCCTGCAATATTAGACTTACAACATTCTAGCAATGTGGATCGTGTGACAGCTGTATCTTGAAATATGCCTGCAATATTAGACTTACAACATTGTAGCAATGTGGATCGTGTGACAGCTGTATCTTGAAATATGCCTGCAATATTAGACTAACAACATTCTAGCAATGTGGATCGTGTGACAGCTGTATCTTGAAATATGCCTGCAATATTAGACTTACAACATTCTAGCAATGTGGATCGTGTGACAGCTGTATCTTGAAATATGCCTGCTGCTTCAACGTAAATAAGCAAATACATTGCATGTAAGTGTCAGTAATGACATATCTTACCTTCCACATCAAAGTTGAATAGACCCTGCCTTGAACTTCAAGTTCGCTATAAAGCAGGTGCCTGTTCCGTTTGCTGAACCAAACCTGTACATGTCGTTCATTGAGATAAGAGTTTATATCCAGAGGTGTAACCGTGCTCTGTAATAAGGCACACGACTTTACAAGATAATCCCAGTATACCTCCCGGCAGTGTGTTTGTTGTTCCTAGGGCTGTGCTGGGGTGATGGCGAATACGGACGAATAGTCGGATACCTAAATACATACATAGTGCAAGTTCGTTTATTCGTTGTCCCGGGGACCGCTGAACGTGTGTCGAGTTATCCGTGTTTTGGGGATAAGCGTCGATATTAACCTTTGAGTTAAATATATGAAGTCATTTCGTCCTAAATTTATCGAAATTTCCGTATGTGTGGTGAGTTTAGATCCGTGCCTAAAATATTTAGGATTTATTAGGAGCCATTTTAGTGACAATTTGATAATAAGTTTACATGTTATATTTATTTTGTATACTTATTTTGTGTCAACATCAGCAACACTAGAGAACATCTGTTCAAGTGTTGTATACAGGTTGAAATAGCCCTATATCCGCCATTTTGATTTTATGACGTCATCATCGAACACCTGGCTGACCTCATTTCACAGGGGTGTCAATGACCTTGTACCGAGTTGACCTTGGATTAAACCGATTTCCCAGGGGTATTTTTAGACTCAAGTGGGCAATATAAGGCCCCCGAACAGTCCCCATGTCATTCAGACTTCAATCGCCAGAGAGAACTCACGCATGCTCTTGACTCTATTGGTTCTGGTAGCCGTTTACCTCGAAGATAGAAAATGGAAGCCGCTCACCGTGATATCCTGAGGAGGAATCGTTGTGGTCTAGTGCAAGCTATACAGTGTGTAGAAGAGGTGGTGGACAAACTGGTACAGTTTGAAGTCCTTACCATCCTCATGAAGGCAGAGATTATCGAAAAACCACAGACGTCCTTCGATCGGGTGAGAGAACTGCTGTCCATGTTACCTAGACGGGGACCCCAAGCTTACTCTCTCTTCTGCAAAGCGTTGATGGAATGTAGGGAGACACAAGCCATGGCATTGTTGGGGCTAGAGACTGACAAGACAAAACTACAGGATCCCCGTTGTCATTTACATCTGGGGGACAACGTCTTTGTGACGGCCAAGACATGGGATGGTGTACTGAACATTCATGTGAGGAAGTACGAAGTGTACCCGAGTGGCAAGGCCTACCCAACCAAGCGAGGCATCGTGCTTACCTTGAAACACTGGTTAGAAATACCAAGTGTATTCATACAGTTGATGGAAGCTGTCGGGGAAGGAAGAAATCAAGCCTATGTTCACATAGGGGTTAACGTGTATGCCAGTTTGGATCCAAATGGTAGCGTGGATCTACGACAGTGGGAGAAAAATGATCAACTGGGAGTGGTACCTACGGCTAAGGGTATCATGTTGTCTCCAGACCAGTGGAAGAAATTGAGAGACTGTTATGATGTCATGCCAGACTTTGTGCCGGAACTAAAGGACATGGTTCCCTGTATGGCACAAGAAGATCACCAGAATCAAATGGGGTACCTCCAGTGTTCCTTCTGCAACCCTAATGACTATGAATGTTGGAGTAACTGACTATTCTTCTATGGTTACAAGTCACCATTCAGCAACTTTTATCCAGCTGTGTTTACTTTGGATGGTGTTACATTTAATTGTGTGGAACAGTGTTACATGTACTCTAAAGCATTGTACTTTGGAGATTTGGACAGGGCAACATGTATTTTCCAAGAGACTTCGCCAGCAAAGCAAAAGCATCTTGGGAGATGTGTGAAAGGCTTCACCCAGAAAGCGTGGGACACTGTCTGTGTTAATGTGATGACTAAGGCTGTAATGGCTAAATTCTCCCAGAACAGTCACTTGAAACACGTATTGATTCAATCCTACCCTAAGCCGTTAGCTGAAGCTAGCCCATTTGATAAAAGATGGGGAATAGGAATTGATGTATCCCATCCTGATATTGACAAACCCTGGAAATGGCCGGGGGAAAACAAGTTGGGAAAAACGTTAATGCACGTTCGTGAAAAGTTGATGATGTGAATATTGTCTTTTGTGAATAAAATATTGCATTGTACTTTTGTCTTGGGTTTTGCTTAAATAGCATGATGCATGTGAGTCATGTACAGTTGTGTTTAAGATGGCACCTTGGGAAGACTACTTGAACAGGATCTATTATGATCCAGAACATCCTGGTAGTTATGCTGCACCCAAGAAATTGTACGATGCCGTGAAAGCAGAGGGTCAGTTTAAAATTGGTTTACATCGAATCAAGAAATGGCTCAAAGGTCAGGAGAACTATACCATGACTCATCAAGTCAGAAGAACGTTTCCAAGAGGGCACTATGTGGTGGAAGGTATAGACAGTCATTGGCAGTCCGATCTCATGGACATGGTTTCACTGGCAAAGTACAATGATGGGGTCAAATACCTCTTAGTCATCATAGATCTATTTTCACGTTATTTGTGGGTACTTCCACTCATGTCTACAAAGGGTCAAGAAGTAGTGAAAGCATTGACCAACTTATGGAAAACCAACACCCGAAAACCTAAACTTTTTCAATCTGACATGGGTTCAGAATTTAAGAATCGGTGGGTAAAAGCCTTTTTGAAAAAACACAAGATAACCCAACTATTTACACTGAATGAAACCAAGGCTCCTTATGCTGAGAGAGTGATTAAAACCATTAAAATGAGACTGTACCGATACATGTTGAAACACTTTAAATACAGATATGTGGATATCTTACCAGATGTAGTCAAGAGTTACAACCATACCAAACACAGAATGTTAGGACAGTCTCCTGCGAGTGTGACTGAGAAAAATGAAAATGAAGTGAGACTCTCTCAGTATTTGATTAAACCCAAAAAAAAATGAAACAGAGTAAAAAGAAGTTCACCTTCAAGGTGGGTGATAAAGTCAGAGTGAGTCATCTAAAGAGAACGTTTGACAGAGAGTATCAAGAGAAATGGTCTGGCGAAATCTTTACAGTAAGAAGAAGATACTGGTCACAAGACAATGACATGTACAAGCTGAAAGATTGGGGTGGCGATCCCATCGAAGGTGCTTTTTTATTCATCAGAGCTACAAGCAGTGGTTGAAGACCCTTATCAGGAGTATAGAATTCAAGACATTGTCAAAAGGAGGACCAGAAATAAACAAAAAGAAGTCTTAGTGAAATGGCTTCATTGGCCGAAAAAGTACAATAGTTGGATCCCTGAGGTCAGTGTAAAGGATTATGAGAAGGTATAAATAGAAATGAAACCAGAGATGGTCTCATTTTGGTATGGAAGACACCATAGAGGCACAACCTCTCTCACGCAGTAGGTCTGGTGAAAGTTGGACATTACTAGGTCGAAAAGTAGCCAAAACAGAAACAGTCTTTTTCTCTCAAATCATCATTATTTACATCGTAGTCATTACGTGTATTGTTAATTTGTCCTTAGACCGAGGAAACTCCAACCTTTGGACCGCACTTCTCAGTTCTAGTTTGGGATATCTCCTCCCAAACCCCAAGATTAAATCTAAACATGGATAAATATTTGACAGTACGAAGTACGGATAGTAAGGAGACCTTTTATCCTGATAATAAACCCTATCAGTTTAATGTCAACTTGAATAAACCCCTTCACTTGGACAACCATTGGCTCGTAGGACTGACTGACATTACCTTATGTAACTGGACTGCTAAAGAGAAATCAGAATATCGGGATATCTACATCTGTTCATCCCTCTGTGACACCTCCCATGTGGGTGATTCGGAGTTACCTGTGTTGAGATATGTTTGTCTGATTGGAAACAAAAGAGAACGGACATTCGTTTTTCCTCAGTGCCATTATGTACCCGTCAAACTGAAAGATGTACAGAATGTAGACCTCTATATAAAGGACAGGAACGGTGATTTAGCTTCATTTATCACGGGACCAGTGATAGTGACACTTCATCTGAAACCACTGCCCGAGAGTCAGTATTCGTTCTGAACAAGACAATGAACAGGAGATACTGGAGACCCTATTTGGACGATCCTAAGAAATGGACCAAATATTACTATTTGCAGGCTAAAGGATATCCCAATCCCTTTAATAACGTGGATGATTATGTGATCTATTATGAGAAACAAGGGGTCAAGATAGACCTACCCCATTCTACAGACAAGTTTGCTCTCACGTCTCCCACCCAGCAAGTGGTTCAACAGGCTAAGGCACGTATGAAGAAAACACATCAACAAGGTAAAGGGGTCACAAGGAAAACAAAGAAGAAAACACGAAAACCAAACAGAAGAAAAAACACGAAAACCAAACAGAAGAAGATGAGGAGAGGAAAACAAATAATAAAATAATAGAAGTCCAGATAACCTGGACAAACTGACGAAAAGAAGAAAATAAACTCATCCATATATAAGTGGTACTCTAACACAAAATCTGCCAGTCTAGCAGAAGCTGTTGTACAGTGCACACGCTTTCCTACCAGGCTCCATTTTGTGATCATCATCATGTCTTGCGATAACCTATCAGCCCCTTTCAAATCGAGCTCTATCAGTGAGCTGGATGTGTTTACCCGACCTTCCTTTATGACTGGGATAGATAAAATGTATTTTTTGGAAATGAGACCGACTTCTCAAATCACCACCGATAGCAGCCCTGTTGAATTCAACATTAGTGGTCAGAATATGGATTATACAGACTTGAAACGAACCACCCTGCATGTGACAGCGAAAATTATGCACACAGATGGCACACCTCTGGTACAGGAGGAACATGTTGGTCCAGCGAACCTATGGCTACAATCCTTGTGGTCTCAAGTAGACATCACCCTAAATGGAAAACTGGTGACCTCAGCCACCCATCTCTATCCATATAAAAGCTATTTGAAACTTCTTATGAGAACAGGGACCACAGGGGAAGAAGCTTACTGTACCAGTCAACTTTTCTACAGGGACGTTGAGGATGTCAACAGTACTGATTCATATAGTGGGACCAATGGAGGACTGCTTTCAAGAGGTTCTCATACAGAGCTCAGCAAGTCAGTTGACATGTGTGGACCTCTCTACGAAGATGTCATGGAATGTGACAAGTTTCTCATCAATGGAGTCAATATGCAAATTAAACTCTATCCTAGTAAACCTGAGTTTAATATCATCAGTGGTGTGAGCAATAAGAAATTCAAGATTATACTGGAAGATGTCTATCTCCGACTTTGTAAGATACGACCCACCGCTTCTATCATCACAGGACATGCTCACATCTTGGCCACAGAAAATGCAGTGTACCCCTACATCAAAACAGATCTCCGAGTAGCCTCCATCCCTCAAGGACAACTCAGTTTTACTTGGGACCAAATATTTCAGAACTGTTGTCCAAACAAAGTGGTGATATGTCTCCTATCCTCAAAAGCACTGAATGGTGACTATGAGCAGAACCCCTTCTTCTTTCAACTTTTTGATCTAACCACTGTAGGACTGTATGTCAATGGAGAATCTCTTCCAGCACAACCTCTTAAAATCACAGATGGACACATTGTACCGGCCTTCCAAGGTCTCTTTGACCCCAGACACCCTTCTTCAACCCCCAACATGACGAGAGATATGTTCAATAAAGGGTATGCCCTGTTCCAGTTCACCCTGGAACCCTACTATGGACGAGAATTTCTGGATCAGATAAAACGTGGGAACATATGTCTACAAATTCAGTTCAGTAAACCCCTTCCTGAAACAGTGAGCTGTCTCGTGTATGCTGAAGAACCACAGCTGTTGAAGGTGGATCAGGCCCGCAACATTCTGATAGAATCATCATCATGAAGATTCACACTAAATGTAGAGAATATATATAGCTGTATGTCCATCACTATATGTTTCCCCTTAAGGGATCTCGATGTAACCTGTTACCTGTCCAGTTATTAGCCTAGTGATATTGTACTTTAAAATAAACATAAAAACACTGAAATTGCGCTAGCCCACAGAAGTCCCCTATCGGAGAAGGACGGTTGGGAGGTATGGCATTGTGTTCTGTTATGAAAACAACAAGATATACAATTTCATTTGTTTAATAGCTCCGTTCATATTAGTAGAACTATAGGTTAGGAGCAAACCATAGTCCACTTTACAAACACACATACATAAATTCATAAAGAAATCCATTTAAATGTCTGTTTAGGCTTCTTGTTTTTCCTCTGTTGAACTGGTATTCCCGGAGGTTTAGACCTCAGTGTCATTTCTGGTGCTTTGGAAATCATGTCCACTTCCAGCCGTTGTCTGTTGCCAATTAGTCCTTGAGGCACATTGATGTCTTTTAAGGCCTGATAGAACTCAGTCAATCCCTTGGGTTGAAAACGTTTATACAGATACTGGGAGTCCTTGAGTAAGTCTGCAATATGACTCCCTTGAATGACTTGACCCTGGTAGATGAGTACACCTTTCCGATTCCATGACAGTCTTTGGTCGGGATCATTTTGTATGTGTCTCAATAAAGCAGCACCTCTCTGTCTGTAAGGTTTAGGGAGCACGCTCAGAATCAAGTCGGCATCCATGGGTTCTGATTCATCATCAATGGTGGTAGGATGATTCTCACCTGATGACGTATCCATGTTCCCACCATTTATTGGATTCACATGATATTTCAAGAGCCGTTTATATCTATCCATAGGAACGAGCACCTGTTTTTGGATATGCTCCATTACAATGCCTTCAATAAAGGCCCAACAACCTTCAACACTAAACTAATAATAGCCACACTCTTTGACAGTAATTGTTTTTTCTGTACTTTAGATCCTGTTTTATTACCAAGAAAACGTAACACTTTTCTGTGTTTTCTCAGTGCGTTCAAATTATGCTTTGACAGAGGTACATCTGAATGTAACAGATTATAAATAATCTCTGTCAATGTTTTTAACTGTTCATCAGTCACACTTTGCAACAACAACTTCTTTTGAACAGTGGATGTACTCTCTTGCAAAAAGCGCAAGAAATATCCGTTCTGTCTGACTGTCTTTGACATAATGGTGTTTCTTTCAATGTTCACCACTATTTATAGGTACAACAGTCTTGCTCACAGGCGACTCGCTGAATGAACATAGGAATCAAAGTCACTGCTATTTATAATCTTGGCACATACACAATGGGATCTTCCCCTGGAAAAATTCGGGTTCTGAGTCTCAGTTTATCTTCTGCACGTGGAGACATATCCAACACCAAATAGCCATAAGGCTGCTTCATAGCATCTGTGTATGCTTCCACGAGAACCCCTGCACGTCCAGGAAATAACTGTTTTCCAAGGGTCATCATCTGTGATATATCGCGCACATTCTTGAACAACACCAAGTACCACGTGTTCAGGGCTATAGTTCGTGCTGACTTGCCTTGACCATACAAGTTCTGAGTAATAAATATAACACTAAGGCATCTATGATGACAGCCTTGTGTAAATAACAACTCCATGTCTTTAGAACTTAACACTTGATGTAAAAGATCGTCCAGGATAATGAGTCCATGTTGACCCTCAGAGGAAAACTGTTCAATGTCTGATTCTGTGGGTAACCCCTGTTGAAACACGAGGTTTGGCACTGTTCTTTCCATGTCGTCAAACAGGGATTGGTACACACCATAACAGTACAAGATTTTCTTGGGTGGGTCCTTCACATACATACCCTTGATGTTCTTTAAAAATGTATAAACCCAATGAGTCTTTCCTGCCCCTGTTGGTCCAGATACGCAAATACTGGAGCAGGGTTCGAAGGGTGTTAAACTTTGTGTTTCCCACCAAGGTTTAGTCGGATCAACCACACTTTCTGGACTCCATGTAATAGCTGACTTGGGTGTAGTGGTTTGAACTTCAGTCATGTGCTCTTTCTTCTTCTTTAGCCAGTGCCTCTTCCCTGGAGTATCTAATTTGTGAACTTTGGATAGATGTAAGGGAAGTCTTAGTAAATGTCGAGCAGAACAACCAGGTACGGGACAGTCTTTCCTTAACCTACCCATCTTACTGAATGCATTTCACGTATGAAACTAATCCTATTTATAGTATGGCTCCCTATGGCTCCCTATGGATGCCTGTGGCTGCCTATGTGGCTGCCTGTGGCTCCCTACGTGGCTGCCTGTGGCTGCCTATGTGGCTGCCTGTGGCTCCCTATGGCTCCCAAATGGCTGCCTGTGGCTGCCAAATGGCTCCCTATGGCTGCCAAGTGGCTGCCAAATGGCTCCCTATGGCTGCCTATGGCTCCCTATGTGGCTGCCTGTGGCTGCCAAATGGCTCCCTATGGCTCCCAAGTGGCTGCCTATGGCTCCCAAGTGGCTGCCTATGGCTCCCTATGTGGCTGTCTGTGGCTGCCAAGTGGCTCCCTACGTGGCTGCCTGTGGCTGCCTATGTGGCTGCCAGTGGCTCCCAAATGGCTGCCTGTGGCTGCCAAATGGCTCCCTATGGCTGCCAAGTGGCTGCCAAATGGCTCCCTATGGCTGCCTGTGGCTCCCTGTGGCTGCCAAGTGGCTCCCTATGGCTCCCTACGTGACTGCCTGTGGCTCCCAAATGGCTCCCTATGGCTGCCTATGGCTCCCTATGTGGCTGCCTGTGGCTGCCAAATGGCTCCCTATGGCTCCCAAGTGGCTGCCTATGGCTCCCAAGTGGCTGCCTATGGCTCCCTATGTGGCTGTCTGTGGCTGCCAAGTGGCTCCCTACGTGGCTGCCTGTGGCTGCCTATGTGGCTGCCAGTGGCTCCCAAATGGCTCCCTATGGCTGCCTGTGGCTCCCTATGGCTGCCTGTGGCTGCCTATGTGGCTGCCTGTGGGTCTCTATGTGGCTCCCTGTGTGACTAGATATACATGGCCTTCATGCGGCCATGACTAAACAGGAATGAGCTACTCAGCTGATCTCAAAACCCATAAGGTACAGTATCTAAATTAGGCTGAATGACCCTTTTTGTGTATACCATTCTATACGTTTTGGTTTCTTTTCTGTTGTATATCTTTGCCGAATATTTGTCTCTGGTAATTTTCGAAGAGTTGGCAATGTCCACAGATTGATTTCTGTTGTGAGAAAGCACCATGGCTTTGACAGAATCAAAGTTGATTAATTGTGAGTTGGTATAATTTAGTGTAAACCCTCTGACTTTGCAACATTCTTTTGCCAGATTGTGTTTTGTAGGCATAATTTTTTGGTCCCCTGAACAAAACATCACAATGGGGTCTCCTTCCAATTCATCGGTGAGTTCCCCCAAATAATCCCCCAAGGGTGGATTGACATCACCAGGTCTAGAGACAAAGAGGACAGAGTCAGTGTCATAATACAAGACACGTTCTTGTAGCATGTCCAACACACTGTACAGTTTTAGTCTTGCATAACAGGTGGTAAAAGTGGCAATGAAGATGTTAGTAGTCTCACTCTGAGGGATAAATTCAGTGTCATGGGTCCACTGAAATTGGGCTACATTGTCATTGAGAATATGAAAATCGTGTAGGGTCTTTTGGGGATCTGTCAAAAATTGATAAAATTCCTCCAGTTTAGACGCAAATACAAATTTTGTCTGTCTCATATTGGGTCTTTGAGCATATTTACCCCAGAATGAATTCAACATTAGTTTTGACAAGGCTCTCAAACCAGGATTTTTCTCAATGTTGTCATAGTCTAACTGAATGCCTTCATTCTCCAAATATTTGTGAATGTATTGTTGTTTATCTGCTTCTGACTGACACCATGCAGGCCAACCTGAAGATTCTTGCTTGATTTTCAGGAAGGTGTTGATGTAACTGGCAAACAAACCACCCGATTGGGTCGTTTTGTCATACTGGGTGGTTTCTGCCCAGTGATAAACTTCATACACCTTTTGAAGTTCATAGCCTTTCTCGAGAGCTTTGATTAACTCTGGAATGCACCACGTCCCGATGAAACCACGTTCTACATCCGTGTGCTGACATGGTGTTTGTTGCTCTGAATTAGCACAAGTTTGACACAATGCAAATTTGAGTTTCCCATTCGATCTAAAGGGCAAGACGGGATGATACAGTCCACGTGGGGGTAAGATCTTGACTTTGGCAATGCCAAAGTACTGCTCTAGAGATTTGAAATCTCTGGTAATGATTTGAGGGTGCCCAACGGGATACTGACCATACTTGTTGACCCATGGATACAAGGATGTAAAATCCATGTACAAAATGTTTTCCTTCTCTTCAGTTTCATAAAACAACTTGGAAGCATTAGTCCGACCACCGAAAAATGAATCTCTGGGATCTAATCGTTCCTGAAGATCTATGGTGGCCACATAGGTTTTCAGTTCAGGTTTGGTTTTCAGTTGTTGCCTGAACTCATGTTCCCAGAGGGTCACTAACTCGTAACCCTTCTGTTTGATGGTTGCATTTCTCTTCATGGTTAAGGCATACAACTCACTGACAGACTGCTTGGTGTGAGGCAGTACTGTTTTGTCCCGGTCATGAGGATAGCATGTAGGACAACCATGATAGAGACACCCGTCAAACTGGTAGATAATGTTGCTGTCACGACAGTACCCATCCACCTTATACTTGGTCCCGGGGATCTGATATTCACCTTCATTCAACGCGTGTTGAATGTGTTTGTGTTGGGAGTGAATCAACCATTCCAGCCATTGTATAGAAATCAGACTGTATTGGTCTTTGGTGTATCCATCTCCAGGGACCTTGGCAATGGGACTGGGAAGGGTTTCTTTCTCATGAACCACACCCCCTGCTTCTTGTACTGCTTGAAGGGTTAGCCAGGACCCGGGTTTGACTTCCACCCAGTCTTGATTTTCATGCTCTTTGATGGGAAGCCATGGAGTGACTGTCCCTTGCCAAAG